GTGGAGGAGATTGGAGCATGCTGAGGGTGGGCAGTAGACACGCAGGGACGCTGTCCTTCCTCCAGCGATGCTGCAAAAAGCTTCCCATGGGGCAGCCCACAACCTCTGTTCTGTCCACTTTTCTGGTGGGGAATCCTCCATCCTTCCTCTATCCATGGTTCCTAACAGACATGTGCTTTCCCTTGAGGAAAACATGTGGGGTTTCTTTTGGTTTCTCCAGTGGCTGGCTTTCCTATAGCTAGTGGATCACTTTGCACCGTCTGTAGAAATGTTACAATTGTTTAATGAATGAGAGATTATTCATGAGTACTGGGGAAAAAATAATGGTGAAAATTGAAATTATAAACATACAGACTTCACTGGCCCAATGAAGGACACCAACAAGGATGTGCCCACCAAAACCTGTCTGAAAACAGAGAGATATGGTTGCAGAGGGAAAGTGCACACTTGTCCTGGGACTCCCATGGTACAGGTGCCGTGGTGACCTGAGAGAATGGTAAAGCCATGGCACATGATGCCCAGAGAAGCTGTGGCTGCCTCTGGATCCCGGGAAGTGTCCAAGGCCAGGTTGGACTGGGCTTGAAGCAACCTGGACTAGTGGAAGGTGTCTCTGCCCAAGGCAGGGGATGGAATGGGATGAGCTTAAAGGGTCCTTCCAACCCAAACCATTCTGTAATTCCATTAAAGCAATGCTGCCCAAAACGTGATGGATGTGGGAGTCTCAGCACCTGAACCTTTGCATGTTGTAAATTACGTATGCTGAAAAATCAGTTTTACCTACAAAACAGACCACAGAATAAAATAAAGGAAGTGTGTAGGAGTGAGCCTGGGGTATCTCTTATAACAGAGGTGGGAGCAGAGAGCTTATTTGAGCATGGATGTGTAAATCTCTTCAAATACCTTTTTGCTCTCCTTCTTAATTGCGTGGAAATTATGTATTAATGGGAGAACAAGCTTTTCTGAAAAAGTATTTTTACCAGTGTTTAATGGTGGCCTGTAAAAATCATCAGACATTGGGTTCCCTCTATCACACTTTAAAAAATAATTTTATCAATCGAAACACAGAATGTTTATGGGGAATATTTTCATTCGGAAATGCTGATATGAGGCAGGTGCCACACATTAACAAGCTGCATTTCTTTTGTCAGGTAATGTGCTGTGACAGATATGTTCCTTAGGTATCTGTAAGTTTTACCCTGTGCTGTTGTCCAGATATTCCTCTATGCGACTGACCCAGAGGAACAGTCCTGTGGCTGCTGTTCAGTTCTTGCAGGTCTCCATCAGAATCTGGGGTGTGAAGCTCCTGGAGCAGTGGTGGTCAAGCCTGGCCCTGTTCCTGAGGTGGTCCTTGCAGTGATGGGTGTGCAGAGGACTGTTTTGGTGCACATGGTTTGTGCCACACCTGAACCTCCAAAGCTTCCTCCAGGGAATAGCTTCATAGAACCATACCTGTGTGTTGGAAGGCAGACAGGTCTGTAAGAGCTTTCCAGCATCTCCACAGCAGCTTCCGGGCACTGCAGCACAGCTGGGGACCTTGGTTAATCTCTGCAGCTTCTATAGCCTGGGTCTCACTCTGCTGTTTTACTGTAGGTCTGGTGTCATGTACTAATTTCTTTAAATGCCATGCCAGCACCTGGATTTTCTTGTGTGAGGATCAGATCTTGGCTATTTGTTGGTTTAAAAGCTCAGCCCTGGCAGGACTCGAGGCCAGCTCTGCAAGGAAGCAAAGGCATGGTGGTGAAGAGACCAGCGCCAGGGCCAGTTTCACTCTATACAAGATGCTTTGCTACATGTGCTTTATTTCATGTTTCACTTCTAGCTGCTTTTCTTTTGCTTTTTAACACAAGCACACTGAGCTCTCCTCAGTGCTCTTCTGTGAGATTGCTGTGGATGCTTAACATGCTTGTGATTTTCAGGGACAATTTCTGAGGTGTACTTCTGTAGGAAAGAGACTTCCAGCAATATCAGTGTGTTTATTTTCTACAGGTTTCTTGGTTTGAAAGACAGGTGTTAGTTAAGAAAGGCATGAGCTTCTCTTGAAATGGACAATGTAAACCCTCTTGCTTCAAATTATTATAATTTTGAAATTAAGGAGCTCTGAGGCAAAGATATGGGAATAGGAATAACAGTTCTTTACTAGGAAAAACTTTAAATAAAAATACAGTAATGAGAAAAAAACCTAAACCAACCAACCAGAAAACAACAACAAAAGAAAACCGAACAAAAAAACCCAAACAAACCCAAAATACTGACAGTCAGAATACAACCACCCCATCAGAGTGGTGGCTGCAGTCCTCCTGGGGTGACAGATGTGCTCCTGTAGAAGGTGCAGTTTTCCTCCAAAGGTCCAGTGATGATGTAGAAGGGTCTGGTTTTCTTCTGGAATCCATTGGAAAAAGGCTGCTCTGATGTTCCAAATCTCAGATTTTATCTGGGTAGGAAATGCTTGGCTCCTCCCCCTGGCTGGAGCCTCTCCCAATGGGATTATGTGATTTTATCAGTCATGCAGTGGGACTCAATGGCCCATTAACAGAAGATACCTCCTTAGAGGAAGGATGGGTTGTGGAAAAGATAAAGAACAGTGTCCCACCTGCTTTTAATAAATGGCCCATTAACAGAAGATATCTGCCTCGGAGATAAGGATCAGTGCCCGACCTTGTTTCAAGGGATGTTAATAGAATACATACTTTTGGTTACATCCTGCTTTGCAAGCTAAGACAACAGGCTTGATAGAGCCTGGTGTTCTCTTGCTTTCTGGCATCTAGTTATTCCAAAGTGTCTTAATGGTATTAAATCGCCAGCAATAAGCAATGCAAAGGGGTGACCTTTGTGTGTCTGGGAATAATGAAGTGAAGACACAGATCGCTCTCTTTCTGCAGAAACCAAGTGGCAGCCTTGTTAACATGCGTCCAGGTAATTACTTCTTTAGTTTAGATCATTTTGGTAGATACTTATGCAATACATTTGATTTTTAGTCACTGTTTTGCTGTGGAAGGAGCACAGGAAATGTTTACCAGGCTGGCATGCCTGCGTTGCTCTCTCATTTCTTTTTTCTTATCAGCAAAACACAAACCCACAGCTTTCAGACAGTGAAACCATATGGTTCCTCTTTTTGATGAATTGGTTTTGCAATACAGATAATCTTGGCTGTCCATGAGAAGAGATATTTTGGATTATTTTAATTCTTGCATTATTCTCTATTTATCACTGCATGGAAATTATGTATGTGTTTATTTCTGAAACCAGACGTTGTAGTGAATTAAGAGTTTATGGAGAACACTGTGCTTTAGTATCTATTTTGAGGACAGTTATTATTTGTCATATGCAACAACCCGTTTGTTATGCCAGTGCCATTCTGCACTGCCAGACAGCAGGATCAGATTCAGAGATTTTCTGAACACTGGATATCCTCTCAGTGGGAGGCCAAGCTGAGAATTGCATTTGTATAAATCAGCTCCTGCTCTACGTAAAGCTGCAGAAATAGCTGCAGAAACAGGAATCATAGAATGTAGAATCACAGAAGCTTTTGGGTTGGAAGGAACTGTAAAGCCCATCCATTGTCGCCCCTGACATGGGCAGGGACACCTTCTGCTGGGCACTGCCAGGGATCCAGGGGCAGCCACAGCTGCTCTGGGCACCCTGTACCAGGGCCTCCCCACCCTCACACACAGGAATTTCTTCCTAATATCTGTTGGGAAGGATGAATTAGGAAAACCTTATAAATACGAGTGCCTAGCAAAAGACTTTGAGAATATGGAAAATATAAGCAAAATAGAAATGGTAGCAATTTTCGACTGTGTGGCTGAAAGCAACTGAATGCCTGAAGGCCCCTTTGTTTAGATAATGTTAGATGCTGCAGAAATAAACTGTAAACTTTAAGACCAGAATAAAGAGAGCGCCTGAGTTTGTCCTGACCGTCCCAAGGCAGAGATTCCTACAAATATCCCATCTAAATCTGCCTTGCTTCAGCCATTCCTTGTGCCCTGTCCCTCCAGCCCTTGTCCAAAGTCCCTTTCCAGCTCTCCTGTAGCCCCTTTAGGCCCTGGAAGGGGCTCTAAGGTCTCCCAAGAGCCTTCTCTTCTCCAAGCTGAACAGTGCCAGTGCTTCCACCCTGTCTTCAGAGCAGAGGGCCTCCAGCTCTCTAATTAGGGGATTTATTCCATTTTACAGTTTTTCAGTTTTACATTTCTGGGTGCCAACAGTTATGCAAACCAAGACCTGAATATGACATTTTCTAGATATTTATAAAATACAAATCAAAATGTAAATCTGGTCAACACAAATGGTAGTGTTTTACCAGGTGGCAATGCAGACACCAGTCTCAGTTGAAAACAAAAATAATTATATTAATAAAAACAATAATAAAATTCTTGATTGTAGTAGATTTAGTTTGATAAACATGCCTGAAGAGTATTCAAAAAAGAAGTCTATATGGAACATCTGCTTATATAAGGATAGAAGTTTACTTAAACATGACTCTTTGGAGATATAAGGGTAAAATTAACCCAACAGAAAAGTGAATGACATGGCTAACTGTGAAAACATTACAGGTTTAATAGTTAAGGACACTAGAGCATGCCAGAGGGTTTTCCAAACGCATTTTTATAAGACAATGGATGATTAAAATTAGGGCAAATTTTATGAAGAGAAGCTAAATGTCAGCTTGGATGAAATTCAAAAAAATCATTCTGGCAAAACTTCATCTGGGCATTTCAATAAAAGCATCTGTGAAAAGCAAAAAGCAGTGACACATTTAAGTTTTTTACTTTAGTGAGAAGAAATGGTGTTGAGAAGCTCCTTAAAGAAGAACAGCATTTCTCCTCTGCACAAGTGCAAGTACTTGAAGTTGTTGATGAACTTTCAGCTGAAGTATAGAAGGTTTTGGAGGTGTAGATCTCATTGAGAGGTGCCTCTGTGGGTCCGGCCCTGTTACATTCAAATGGGAATGATCCTCTGGGCATGATCCGTGATGCTATTGCAGCCCAAGGCAAACCGGGGATGCTGGCTAGTAGACATTTCTGTAGAGCTCAAGTGGAGCAAAAATATTTTAAAGCCCACAGCTAAGGAGTGATGCTGCCAAGGTCACTGCCATTGAGAGGTTTAATGACTTGGCAGACGCAATTGTGGACAAGGACGAGGCAGGGAAGGTTCAAAACACCCCAGCAGCTACAGCTGCACATGTTACTCAGGATGGTCAATGCTGGATTAAATGAAATATGTCTTGAAAGAAAGGATCCAGTGCCAAATTATTTGTTCTTTGGAGAACAAAGAGTGAACAAATGAGTCCAGATAAACTGGCAGGTGTACTGAATGCCTCTACTGAGGCTGCATGTGGTGGCCCAGCAGGTGTGCATCAAGTCCAGTTCAGCTCTGCTTAGTTTTTTGCATCTTGTGCAGTTACAAGAGTTACCAATGTGAACTCTAAGAATATGGTTTGATCTCTAAAAATAGCCTTGAAATTGTAAAATGCCAAAAAAAAAAATCGATATGTAAAATCTTTATTTTGCAGTTTAGGACAGTGTTTTCTCATGGTAAGCCGCAGAGTGATTAAAACGAAAAGAAAAGCTGAAACTCGTAACACTCATCTGGAGTAAGAAGGAAAATTGTCCAGTACATCCTGTGTGTTCCAGGAATGGGATGTGGACGGGCAGGACAAGAGGTGAGGAGAAACCAGTCCTACAGAAAATATCTGCTCTCGTTGAGGCCAGTTGCTGCCATAGTGACTGGCTGAAAGAAGTGGTAAAGCAAACAGAAATAATCTGCATGGAATAAAAGAGCTATGGTTTTAAAAGCTAGTGCTTGGTGCATATTTACTCAGTAGATTAGCCCAGTAATTGTCACTGGGACTTCTGTTTCATCTTTTGCTGAGATTCCTATGGGTTTGTTTTCCAGGTACAGGGACTTTAAGAGCATGAATTGAAGACAGATAGGTGGGATGCCTGCCTCCTGTGGTATGAACTAGGGGCTTAACAACAATTAGTGACATGGGGGGAGTTTTAGCATTAAAAATAAAATAGATTTGCTAACAACATGTGGTTCTGTCAGGATGTTCTCATGGAGAGTGTAATTTCTTTTTGCCTGTAGATGTGGAAAATATATTTTCCTCTTTTGATATTTTTGTGTGTGTCATCATAGCGCTTGCAGCACTATGCCTCTGAGTCTTCTCAAGTCATTTGGAGATCTAGTGGAAAATATGGAACTTAGGCTCTGATGCAGAAGCAGTGCTGTTATTTTGTAAATGTTAAAAAAACCAAGTTTCTAGATTCTGTCAATGAATGTGTACCAACCCATAAAAAGTATTTGTTACCTTTGAAGTTATCTAGATGTTATATGTTGTCTTAATGACCTGACATTGAAAGTTTTGTTTAAAATGACTGTGTACAAGGAATATTGTGACAATAAAACTTAGTGTATGCAGTTAGTGGCTAACATTAGGTGGCCTAGGGGAGAACAGCTCCATGGCTCAAAGAGCAGCTGTATCAACAACGAAGTAATAGAAAAGCAGAATGATCAAAAATGTATTAAAAATTAATGATTTACTGTAAAGCAGAGTTTGTCACTTGAAAAGGGAGATAAGTTATGAATGTATGTTTTTCTATGCTCCTCCCTTTGGTTCTGACCCCCTTGGCCCCTTTCAGCCAAGCCAAACAGAGGTGCAATGCTTATAAAGAAGTTTTGGTCAGATCATGCCAAGATGCTACCAAGTAGGCTGAACTGCATGATCAGTCCAGTAGATCTTGGAAATTTGCATGGGGGAAGACACGTAATGAATACTCCCAGCCAGCCTGAGTACTAAATTAATCAGAATCCAACAACACAGGGACCCATAGGGGACCCTGACACTCAAAAATTATTTTTTAGTGGTTTTAGTGTTCAGCGTGTACCAGTCTGAGCAGATACTATCACAACATCAGTTGCTCTGTGCTGGGGATGAGGGCAGAGGAGTTGTTGAATGGCACTGATGGAGGGTGGCCATGGGATGGTGCTTGGCAGAGCAGCCAGCATCGGCCACCCCGAGGTCTGGTATTTGTTTTGACCATTAACTGTGACTGATTTACAGCCTGGTCTCAATAAAACCTCTGTGGACCTTCACTGTTGGCAGTGGTGATAGCATTGAAAACACATAATCGCAGAATTATTATATGCAGGTGCTTTATTGAAGAGCTCTCGGAATCAGGGGTGCAGACCCAAATCTGACTCCAACATGGATCTGAGATGAACATGTTTTTATACCCTTTTTGTTATATATTAATTATATATATAATATATTATATAATAATTCTATATTAATTATTAAACCCATATTGTTCTATGGTATACATTGATCTTATCCAAGCATGTGTTCTTGTAATTTTCATTAGGTCCCCCCAAATATTCTTTCTCATGATTCTTGTTACAATTACATCGTTTCTCATGATTCTTATTACGATTAAACAATAATCATATTCAGTTATCAAAAATTGTTGCATTTAACAATCATATCATTTATCATATGATGATTACGCAGGTGTAACTTCACATGATCTAGAAAAACAAAGCTCAATATTCATTCCCAGGGCCTAGTTCCCTTTCCCAGGCCTACCAGACCCAATCTTCCTTTCTATCCCCCTGAATCTATTGTATGCGATTCCCATGATTTTTAGAAACATTTTAACCCTATGCTATCAGCTGTGCTGCATTGTATCTGTGTTTGCTCTGCAGGGCAGTGCAGCCGCCTCCTACCGCCCCAGCTTGGCTCTCTCCAGGTCCTTCATGGCAACGGCACCGATGTGGGAACAGTGGTCACATTCCAGTGCTCCGCCGAGCACCAGCTGGAGGGATCAGGCATTGTCACCTGCGTTTGGAAAGGGAACAGCACACAGTGGACAGCCGGAGTGCCCTCCTGCAAGCGTAAGGTTCTTCCCTCCATCTGGGATGCGGGGCAGTCGTTTTGCCCTGCCTATCCTGCAGTGTTAGGATTCATTCTAGATATCTGTGCAAAGAAAAAGACAAATTCAGTTTTCTTAAAGGTTGCCCCACTGATGGTAATTCCACTGCATATGTGTTCTGACATGCCATTATCACGACACAGAAAAGACTGTTGGATTCATCCCTGATCTCATGTTACTGATAGCACCTGGAATAACTGTGGCTCTAGCTAAACAGTATGCTTCTTTAGGGAATGTATGGGTGTTTCCGTTTAGAGACAGGTTTAGGAGGAAAACACTCTGGAAGGAGTGTTTCCTCTAAAAAAGGATTCCAACAATCCCTTTCCACCAATAAGAAATGAATACTAGTGGATAAAAGTGGAAAAAACTCCAACCGTTTATTGACAAACAGACTGCCCACACAGCATGGGAAAAAAGGTAAATAAATGCTAGATATTGAACTGTCAGACCTTAACACACACTCCACCCTCTCCTCCCTCCCACCTGGAAAAAAAAACAAAAAAAAAACGCCAGGGAAAGAAAAAAACCCACAACAGCCGGCAGCCAGCTGGGGAGAAAGATGGCACCAGCTCCTGTGTCTCAGGGAAAAAACCAAAAGGTTCATGCAGCAGCTCAGGCAAACAAATGGGAGCCCGGACAATGTCTGGTGTTAGTCCCCTGTCTAGAGGTGAAGCAGGTGTGCCCTCCCCAGCTCGAGCTTTTTCCCAGGTCTGGGGCCGAAACAGAGAGCCCCTCTCATCCGCCAGTGATTCTTCTCCTGCCACTTGTTCTCGCTGATCTCGGACCAAAACCGAACTGTCCAATTCACCTCGAAAAGCCACTGAAGGATTGCTGCTGTGGCCTCTCCAAGCCTATAGAAAGGAAAAAAACCCAAATTTCCTCCTGGGCTAATAAAAACCCCCCAAACTAGCCAAGCAAAACCCAGACTACACCACACCCTCAGACACTGGGGGCAGTGAGACTTTGAAAGAGCCCAACAAAGGGCCCTAAGGCTCCCTTGGACCCACCTTAAAGATACAGCACTCATTTTGGGGCATAAAGCAGAAGATCAGGGAATAGAACGTCATCATAAATTACCCCAACACCATGAGAATGACCAACTGATGTGCAAGCGTATTTGAGAACCTGTCACCTGGCAGTCTTTTCTGACAATGTTTTTCCTGTAAAAGAAACACTGATATTTTTTAACAATTCTTGGTTGTTGCGTGTGGGAAAGTTACCATATAGAGAAATAGTGTCTGAATGGCAACAGCATTAGCTACCTTTTAGCTGTGTTCCTACTTGTTTATTACAAGGTTGTTACTAGTTTGACCAGAAGTAGACCGAAGCAAAACTTGGTTCCTCTGAGCTTTGAGGTGCCTCAGACTTGGTGTAATTTTGAATCCCCAGTGGATACATTGCTCTTACAGACACTTGGTGCTCTCTCACACACTCAGGTATTCTTATCTCTTGTTTGGAGATCCCATTAAAAAAAAAAGAGAGAAATCCTTCCCCCAGAGGCTGCAGAGATATAATGTTTTGTGTGGAGCTCAGCTGAAACACTTGTGATGCTGGTCATTGTGACACTGGGAGAACTAGATGACTTTTGAAGCAAGACATGCTTAGTGCTCCAAGGGAGTTGGCAGAGATCTGCATTAATTGTGCCACACCACATTCCCACTCCTCCTTTTGTCTGAATCACTCACTTCCAGCATCAGATCCCTGCAAACACTCAGCCCTGTAGGTCACTTCTTCCATCCTGCATCCTTCCCCAAACAGAGGAAAACCTGTTGCTTAATGCCTGCCAAGGAGGATGTAATTACATGGAACTGTCCTTGCTCCAAATAGCTTCTTTAAGCCCACTTACCCCTGTTAGTATTAGTTTTTAAAGCTTCATTCCGTGCTAATAAAGGAGTCTGCAGCTCATCTGCTTTTGATCTGCTGACAGAGTTGTGCTTTTAAGCTACTGCAGTGCTAAGGACACTGTGTTTAATTAATTGCAGTGGTGAAATGCATGTGAACAATTCGTTAGTAACTTATAAACAGGAGATTTTTACATAGTCCAGTTTGAGGCTTGCATAGGTCTAAGCTGAAGCCAAGGTACTCCGGTGTCTTCACACATAGTAATGTGAAAGCCCTCACTGAGCAGAAGCATGAAGTGGGTAGGTTTCAGCATGGTTTAATGAAAATTAAAAGATAAATTTTGGACTGATCTTAGAAACATTTCTGTGTTTGCTTTGCTGCAGCCATATCAAAATACGAGACTTTTGGCTTTAAGGTCGCAGTGATTGCCTCCATTGTGAGCTGTGCTGTCATTCTGCTGATGTCCATGGCTTTCTTAACTTGCTGTCTGATCAAGTGTGTGAAGAAAAGTGAGAGGAGGGGAACTCAAAGGTATGTCAAGAGAACAGTTTTAATAAGAGTGTAAGAGTGTACATCATATGGACCCCATTGCTGTGATAACAAGTGCTTCAAAGGATTTGCTGCTTGCAGCACTGCAATGATGTTAATTACTTAAAATCCTTAATTTGTAGATCAGGCTGTAGGCACAGAAAGACTTAGAATTCCAGAGTATTTGAATACCTGATGCCTGTTAATATCAGATAACCTCAACAGGCCTGGACAGATTTGGGTTTGCCCAGGATTATGCAGAAGCTGAACACACAAGTTTGATTTTCTGGCACAGCTTTTCTTTCCCCAAGTTATTGAAGATTGGCAGTGTTTCCCTTTCTTCTTTTTTCTTTCCTTTATTCCTTTCTTTCTTTGAACACTGCTGGGAAATGGCATCTTCCTGTGTCAGAGCCATCCAAGCCCTCACCATCTGCAGAGCATACTCAAAGCTGTCCCAGCATGGGGCTGGAAGGATGGAGGATTTTGTCTCCTGGCTTGGAGCACAAATCACTGGATTATAAACAGGAATAGGAAGAAGGAGAATTTTAAATCCTGTCCATTATAAGATCTCAGTGTGGATAGTGTCAGCAGCAGCACATTTGCCTGTAAGGCTGGAGTCCTTGTTGCGCACAAGAGCATCTACCTACAGTCACTGCTGCAGAAAGCTTTCCATGGGAACTTGGTTTCCCTCTTATGGAAAACCAAGAGGTTTTCTTGCTGGTTACTCCCACCAGGCCCTCCAGTGGAGTGGAGGGAGACTGGGGAAGACAATAGTGAAGGTTTCTGTGTGGAGCTGTGCTTTATCTGAAGCTGCATGGGAACCAGCTGAAGGGGGAACTTCTGTCATTTGAAATCCAAGTGTAGCCAAAATAAATTTACTGTTTCTCTTGAAAGATTGCTTGTGTCAAAAAATGAAAGTCTTTAGTGTCAGTCATAATATTAGTTTTTTACTGGTAGTGTGAAATAAGTTGCTTTGAAATAAAAGGTTAATTGACATTTTTGGAATTGCCGCTTTTCTTTTTGATAAGACTATTCCTATCAGAGTCCTTGTTTTTAATTTTTTTTAAATGAAGTTCTCTAAAAGCTAGCCATTCCCATTATTGTGATGACTTGCTATTTTTCTCTTACATAAGAAAAGCCTTTCACACTGGACATTAGGACCTGATTCTGTCATCAGGCTGTAAAATTATTCCTTTTGCGGAGACCTTCTCAGTTCCCTGCTGCCCCTGTGCGCCTTTCTCTGTCTTTTGAAGGAGCTGCTCCGTCCCACTGGCAACAGAACTCAGCTCGAAGGAGAAACCTGGGGCAATGCAGGCATTGTGTGTCTTATCCCTTCTGTCAGAAAGAACTAAAGTAATGTACAAACTGTCCATGTCATGGGAGAAAAAGTAACATAACCCTGTGTGAAACTTGTCACATGCAGTGGCACCATCTCTGTTGGTGATTTAGGTGGAAAAGTGGATTGACTTCTGGATGCACAAAGCATTAATCTGACAAAAAGCTGCAGGCTTGATAACTGAATACAAAATGAGAACTCTTGAGGGGAAAATAGTGAAATGTCTCTTAGACCGTATCTGAAAGGCGAGGTAATCTGTACCTATGGAGCAGAGAGGATGTCCTCACCTTGCCTGCACTTCTGATGTCTGCCTATGTTCTTCTTTTGGCTCTTAGTTGGTAACCTGAGAAATCACCTCTGCCTACAAACCAGCCTTGCATGGTGTCTAATGATCTTTGAAGTGCCATCTTGTGTTTAATAGAATCATAGAATCATTAGGATTGGAAAAGACCCTTTAGTTAAACTGTCAACACAGCACTACCACCATGTTCACAACTAAACTGCCACACTCACATATGTTTTGAAGAGAAAAAGGACAAAGGCTGCTGAACGTCCTCCCACCATTCAGCCTCCTCACAGATCTTGTTCCACTGAGGGAGGGTAGTTGCTGTTTTTTTTTGGAAAGAGCAGGATTGCATCCCAAGAAGAGAGAAACGGCACCCAAATCAGCATTGCCAGTTCTCACAGTTTAATCTTGTCCCATTAGCCAGTGAGAGTGTCTGTGGTTCTTAGACTTCTTTTAAAAACAAGAAAAGAAATTGTGGATTTTGTTTCTTGCCTCAGAGTTGCAGAGAGCAGCATGAAAACAGACCTGAGCTGTTCCAAAAGAGAATTCTGACAGTGAGGGAATATGCCCTGTGCTTAACAAAGACAACATTATCTGTCCCCTCCCTTTTTAAGTCAGTATCTTTTCCACCTGCCTGGTGATTTTGGAAACCTTAAGAATAGCAGTGATGAAAAGGGTAACAGATTTTTTTTTCTGAAATAATTTATCCCATAAAATGGAGATGATCTGAAGTCTTTTCATACACAACAGGATGTGGCCTGATGTCACCAATGAAGGTCCATGAGAACACTGACACATCATCCCACCTTATATAACTTTTCTTATTACATGTAGTCTGGAAAAACACTGAATAAAATGGACATATTTCTTAGAGGTTTGTTCCTTTGAACTATGCACTGGTGCTTATAAGAAAATTGCTCTCATTTTCTTGTTTGCTTGCTTGTTTTTGAGGACTGCTGGACAGAACTTAAAATAGCATGATTTTGCACAATAATATTTATACTATTGAAGAAGTCCCTATCTTAGAGTGTTACTTAAGTCTCTACAAGTTTGGCTTATGCATGAACTTCAGCATGTGTTTAAGTGCTTTCTTCAGTAAACCTGGAGTGAGATTTAAACTTTAGAAAGTCAGGTCTGTGGTCAGATAACAGCTCAGCTGTACAGCCATATATTACAATACTGTTTCTACTGCTTGGTATATTCACAGAGAAATGCAGCTGTGGTACCAGCTAAGGACTGAAGAACTAGAGCACATGCAAGCTGCTTACTTTGGTTTTAAGGGAAGAAACAATAGCAACAACAATAAAAAACTCAGGAATACATCTGTATTTGGTGACATGACTAACATGGCATATGATAACCAAGGCTTCTACAGGTAAGGCTGTTAAAATATATTATGTTTGAATGAGGTGATGCAATCCTGGCTAATCTCTAACGAGAGCTAAAAGCAGCTATGAGAGCAGGAGTATCCACCTGTGCACCCTTAGCCAAAAGTCTGGCTGTTTTACATATGGAGAGCGGGTACTGCTTCTAATCAGAGACGGAAGTGTTATTAAAGGTGATTCTGAATAAAACTGTCCTAGAATTGCTCTTGGAACAGATGTGATCCTTCCTTATTTATATATTTTTCCCTCTTTCCACTTGAATAAAAGCTGTTTAATCAAGTAATTAGTAAAACATGCTGATTACTATTCTTTAATTTCATAAAATGAATTGAGTGCAAGGTGAGATGTGGGAATTCTGCTAACAGAATTCTCTAAACCTGTGGGTGTTGCTGCGGTGATGAAGCTGTTACAGCATTGATTGTCCAAAGAAATAAATACAGACATGGTTGGAAAACAGCTGCAAAACTGAGGGCAGGCAGTCCCAAAAGAAAGATTCCGTATATTTCTGCATATCCATGGTCAAGAGCAAACCAAAAGAGAATTTAACCAAGACTCCTCAGGGAACGTTCAGGCTTGACATAAGTAAGCATTTTGGGGTGGTCAAACCCTGGAACAGGGTCCTGGAAAGGGGGTCGGTGTTGGTGGCCCAAACTGGTATTGCTCAAGGGGCATTTGGACAGTGCCCTTAATAATGAGCTTTATTTTTTGGTCGCCCTGAAGGGGTCATGCAGTTGGACCCAATGATCCTTATGAGTCCCTTCCAACTGAAATATTACAGTCTAGTGTATTGTAGTTTACTGCACCCTATCCTACTCTATTCTATCCTACCCTACCCTATCCTCTTCTTGTGTTAAGGTTTCAGACATTTGGTGGAGTTGCCCAATGCATCATGAGATATCCAAGCACAGCAGCAAATCCTACTTAGTTTTCCTAGGCAGGAGCTGTCTGAAGAAGCACAGGGATGAATCCTTTCCTCCCTGCCTTTTCCAGGGCTGTGGTATACACTGTTTTCTGCAACCCAGCCATGAGAAGTGGTTCTGCAGCCCACTTAGAAGGGGGAGTTGAGATGAGTACTGCCCATGTCTGACAAGGGAGGGGGTGTAGGCCTGACAAATTCAGTCACTTTTACAATAGCCTTCTCTTTTCTTAAAGAAAACTGTTCTGCTGCTTCTTGTAGCATATGAAGTATCTGGAAGAGTATGAACTCCTCCACCCTTAAAGAAGACTCTCTTGAGTATATCTTAATTTATTTTTTACAAGAAAAGCATGTAGGTCATCCTACCTTTCAGACATAATTGAATAGATTTAGAGATTAACATTTTGCCTCAGTACTTTAGGATCAAAATACTGTAAGAAGAGATAAAATAAAAAGCCAATTCTTTCAGATAAGGCAATGTAAGATAAACATTCAATTCTTTCAGGAAGGTAAGGTATTTGTTAAGGTTTACAGACTAATTTAGGATTAAAACACTAATCAGTTAAAGAGGTACTTTAGTATGCTGACGAGATAATTTTGGCTGCAATGAGGTGACACAATGTGAGTGCAGAATGCTGATGTGTAGAAGTTATAAATAACAGAGAAGCCTAGCTATGTAACGGTGAGGGCTCCACTGTGCTGTTCTGGACCTGGCTGCCACAAAATGAGAACTTTTCCCCCTCATGTTTGAAGCATAGAACAAACATAATGAATATGTAGTTTTTCAGGGAAACATCGAATTTTAGTGGCAACTGCTTGAATTATGATGAGCCTCATTCTGACTGCTTTGCAGGTTGAACAAATTGATTTAAAACGATAAGAAATATGTGTACAAATACCCAGAATCATTAACTATAGAGTGCAGTCACTCCAGATGCCACCTCTTTCATTTGGATATAAAGAATCATAATGAGGATGAACATACCAATTTTTAGCAGAAGGTCTTATATGCATGAGCTGCAAGTATTTACAGCATATTTGCTCTCTTATATTATTGAAAACACTAAATAATGTTCAGCGGGGAAAAACAAGTTACAGATCATGGGCTGCTGGGAGGGAGGAGTTTCCCCAACGTTGCTTCTCAGAAATGCAGAGTAGCAGAGATAGCAGTTTTCTCTGTTGTGAAGAGGTTTGAGCCAGATTAGCTGAAAACAAGGGTTTATGTCTAGGGAAGGGAGATTAGCTGCAGCCCTGGGCCAAGGAGTTAGAGGAGAACAATGTCCATGAGCAGTCCAAAGCAGTCCCCAGGAGGATTGCTGGGTAGAGGGTTTGTCAGCATGTTGGGAATGGCTCTCACAACCTGACTGCAAGATGTACCAGGATGTGTTATTTTTGAGTCAATTATTTTCTGATGAAGAATAATACTTGACCCTGCAGTAACTGTTCTCTGCAGCACTTGCTTGGGCACCCACCACCCAAGACAAACAGTCCTCTTCCATCCCAGCAAGCAGCCATGTGGGGAGCTAGGATCAGGCAGCTGCCAGAGAAGGCAGGTTGTGTCCTGCCCCGAGACAGGCGCAGGATGAAATATCAGCAAAGAGAAATTTAATGGCAGCTGTCCTTCCACTGTGCCAGTTGCTGGTAGTGTTTGAGAGATGGAGGTAAGGGTCACTGAGACATTTTGTTAAAGAAATGAGTGTCCAAAAGAAGAGTGGGGTTAGCTTAATGCCAGCAGGGGCTGTGCTTACCCACTGCTCAGGGCCAGTTGTAGCTGCTCCCCAGGTAAAGGTGCTCCAGGGCTTGACAACTCTCCCTGTGAAGAATTTTTTCCCAATATCCAACCTGAGCCTCCCCCAGACTGACAGGGCTTAAAAAGTGCCTTCAGTTTTCAGCAAGTAGGCAAAGATTCACATCAAAACTAATCATCAGCCTCAGCAGAGCTGCTGCTCTAGGAAAACAGGTTTAAAATACAGGATGAAGAAATGCAAATAAGCAATTGATCTGATAAACATCTTTGCCAGTTTTTAAATCTATAAATAATTTTCCTGTCCTGCTGTAATGTACATCAATTAAATTTTAAGTATCCATGCAGGGAGGGGGCAGTCTTGTGCTTGTTTAAGTAGTTTGTAGCATTTTTACTTGTTCTGTAAGTGAACCTATCAGTTCCATAAAAAATATAAAGAAATGCAAGCGTTCTGTGCCAGAAATGGGAGCCTGAATCCAATTGGAACCAGTTTTGGTCTGGCAAAATATGCACAACCTAGTGTCACATTGTGAGAGCAAACAGCAAACCCTTCTGGCATGAAGAGACGTTAAAGAATCAAGCACTCCTCTTTTGGAACCTATTTATATATCAGCATGTGTAGAAGATACTCTCCCAGGAGCAGCACAGATAGCCAGTGTAAAGAAAATGCTGAGAAAGCTCATTTAAGTTTGTATCAGCTTCCTAGTGATGGTCAGAAATAGCCACACCTTAGCTCTGTTGCTTTGTTTTTCAGTGTAAAAGTCCTGTAACCTGTCCTGGAATAGATACTCTGACTCAAGGCACGTGCTGATTTTTTGTAAGAGAGAACTGATGATCCAGCATTTTTCACACTCGGGAGAACTGAATGTAGCTGTACACTAACTCCTTTTCCTTCTCAATCAGTTAAGATGACAACCAGAAGAAAAGTAGTCCAGCTCAAAAATGCAGTCTAAAGAGAATCAAATAAATTTGATGTGGGTTTTTTGGTCTAATGTGGAAGCATTTGGAAGAAGTTGGGCAATCGAGATTTGGACTGTTTAGAGGTGAATTATTTTTCACAGCTCTAAGTCAAGTTATAAAACATTCTCTATGAAGCAGCTGATCTGACTTCAGGAGCGAATCAAATGGAAAAGGCCATGTCTCAATATGCTTAAAGTCCTCCTTTCAGCTTTTCACACATCTGGAGCATATTACCAAGAAGAAAAAAAATCCTTCTGCAGAGAAGGAGGCTGGTATGTTCCCACAGAAGATATTTTTAGTAACTGAAATTTTTGTACCAGACCCCTTTTGTGACTACGAGATGCTTTACCATTGCACCTGGCAAAAAGCAAATAAGGGCAATCCAACAACAAAGAATTGCAACTGAAAAGGTTTTGTAGAAAATCCCAAAGCCAGCATGCTATTAGGAGAGGTCGCTCAGCATTTTCAGCATCACTGTGGGGTTTAATACTGCATCACATAGAGCATCCAGTGAAGGGGCTGCAAATGACAAATGACTTGTTTGATACAATTGTATCGAATTGATACAGGAAATGTTTGATTGCATGGAACCAAGGACTGAAGGGGAGGAAATCCAGCATAGGAGAGGGGCAGATTTCCTTTCCTTGCGTTTCCCTGCTTTTCCTTGTGACTGGTCCAGCCTTGAGCTTCTTTATTCATAGAATTGGATTTTTTGTTTGTTTTTTTTTCCTCTTGTTTTTCCTGTGCTCTGTGTTCCCCACCTTTTAAGAGGCTTAGATCTTCTCAGTACCTTTTGACACGCAGGTTTCAAAGAAAGCTGAGACAGGGGAATTGAGCTGTGGTTTCACCTTGGGGCCCTGTTAGAAGGGTAGGATAAACTGGCTTTTAAGTTACACCCATTTCTGAATTTCAATCTTAATTGTCATCAGAGCTCGAAGGGGGCACGTACAGCAACATGTGCTTTTAATAGGGCTGCTATTATTGTTTTCATAATGCTTTCCTGATTACCCTAGGGTCTTGTGCAAAGCCACCAAGCATACAGCAACAAAAAAAATCCCCTCCCATCCTCTAGTATACAAGCTGTTTTGAGAGGCAGTGCCAGCACCAGGCAGCCTTGTGGCTGCATTCTCACACGTCTTGGATGGCCTGTTAACAGTGATTTCCCTTCAGCAAGGAACAGCTCTCACACAGAAAAATATTCTTGTGAATCCTCTAAATCCCATTGACAAATGCTGTGATGGCTGTTCTTCTCCCCTGATGGGACCTCCAGATTTTATCAGTCAGATAGAGGCTGCCCTTGTCAAATGCATAATGCACTTGGCTGTGCAGCACCCAGGGTAGGATTATATTTCCAGGTAAGGGTACAGAGAAGGGTTCTGATCCTCTTGTTGTGATGTTTTGAAGTAGCCCAGTTGGGAACTGGAGTTAAGGAAAGTTGAAGTGCTTGAAAAAACAGTCACACTTATTCAGGACAAAGTACCAAGGATGAGAGCACAAACTGAGGACTGTGTCCGACAGAAGGCCATGCACACAGAGCAAAGCCCACTGCATGCACAGTTGTCCCTTGTGACACTGCAACCCTCTAAATAGCTCTTCTCAGCCTCTGCTGAGGTGAAACCCCACTGGCTTCACTGTCCTCTGATGTCCTCAGGGTTTGATCTATTGCAGGGAAGAGAGGTGCCTAGTGTCTCATCCTACACTTATAGAATCACATCATCATGGAATGGTTTGGATGGAAAGAGTCCTTAAAGACTATCTCATTCCAACTTTTGCCATGAGCTGGGACACTTTCCACTGTCCCAGGGTGCTCCAAGCCCCTGTGTCCAACCTGGCCTTGGACACTGTCAGGGATCCAGGGGCAGACCCAGCTCCTTTGGGCACCCTGTGCCAGCACATGTCAGTGAAAGCCTAACAGTTCCTGAAGTGGGAGAAACTGGTTGCTAAGCCACAAGTACATTTCTTCTCCAAGTATAGTTTTACCCAGTTTGGATTCCTGAGTTGGTGGTAGACTATGGGTAATTGCAGTGTTTCACAACATACAGCTTTATAGGGGAAGACATCAGAGTGGGATGACTTCTGCCCAGTGAACTGCATTTATTGCTCTATAACCAGAATACCTAGACTTGAGCTGAAATCCGGGCAGGGCAACGTGCAAAGACTTTTTTTTTTCAAAGGTTGTTTTGCTGGCCCATGCAAAACTTTGTTCCAGTCCTCTGTGTATGTGCTGCTTTTATTTGATTGTTATTTTGACCTTTGACTACCACCTCAAGAAGATGGAACTGAGTTTCTTATACTATAAAAAAATAAATACATGCACAACAGCAAATATCTCAGATTTTCTTTTGGCAGTGAGGTGTGCAGCATTACCCCATGTAGCTTCTGTTCCCTGATGTCAGGTCACAGGGGTGCTCAGTGTTCAGTTGCTACCCAGCAAAAAGGTCCTTGAGGTCTTGTTGAGGCTTTTACAGAGACACAATTATTTGCCCCACTGCTACCAACTGGTTTTGGTGCTGAGAGAAGAAATTCACTATGTTACAGCACAAGTAATTTGTGAAACACCTGATATGCCAATAAAATGCACAAATTCTGTATCTTCGCCAGAATTAATGGAACAGAAATAACTTTTCCCTTTGTGATTATAGGTCCCAGGAAGAGTGGACTCAGGATGTCGTAGTTCCTGGGTGTTGCAAAGACAACAGTCACCTGCTGAAGGTAGCCAAGAGCAGTGGTGCGCTTGGGACACATGCAGTACCAAGACACAACGCTGCACTGCAGACAGTGAACTCCATACACTTTGTTGAAGTCTACAGTCATAAGGATAGTTACAACAAACCAACCTGCCAGATACCTGGATAGCTGGCGTCTGACATGCAGCTGCTTCTCTGGACCAAAATGAAATTTTCATAGAAATATGTGCCTTAAAGACAACATAGAAAATTCATTATTCATATGAATTATAAGTTTTCTATATTCCAAGATGGTTATTTAACAGAAATGCTTCAAGGTCTGATACAAATAAAGGTATGAATGTTGGAGCTGTCAATCCAGAGCTGTTCTCTGCAGTGTGCTGTGCAGTGTGACTATGGCAAAAGCATCATGTCCTTCTGCACAGCTAGAGAGGTGGTACCCAGTTTGCCTCATACGAAGTTGCTGATAATAATTATACACCCTCAGATTCCAATTTTCTCTGAACCAGTGGGTTTTGTAAGAATTTCAGAGTGAGACGTCCTCCATATTTTTACAAAGTAGCATGATAGAACTACAAAAAAATTTGGTTTTAATTAAATCCCCCATTGTTTTGTATCAGGAAGGTCTTTAATTCATCTGCTCTGCGTTTAGAGATCATGTGAGACTGGGTGCAGCAAAGACCCATCTGCTGGTCTGCCAGCCTGTGGGAGAGATGGCATATGGAGGGATGTGGTGTCATGCTGTGGCACACCTTGGACTCCCACCAGTGACCTCCCGTAGCGTCTACAGGTGTCCCAGTGCCAGAGCAGCTGGTGTGCAGGTGAGGACAGCAGTGCAGCCTTGCTGGAGCAGCCAGTTTGGGATTGCTGCAGCATTGTCCCTTATGAGAGCTCTCTAAATGAAGGGCTGAAGTAGCTTTTGAAAGCCTGCCTTCTTTGCCTATTGTTAATCTGTTCATCATGTGAGGAAACAAGGTGGGTTTTTTTCTTGTTTTGTCCCTTTTGAGGGTATTGAGGGCCTGGCCCTTAGAAAATGGGAAAGGGGAAAGTCTAACTTTAATAACAGGAGAGAAGAGAACCTTAAAAGTACCAGAATGGAAGGGTTTCTCTGATCCCCAGAAGTGTAGAACAAATAGTTAAACAATTCCTTCACAAAGAAGATACATCTCAACCAAGGATTAAAAACAGTTATAGGCATGGGAGGAAGGTGTTCTGTCCTACTGGCAATATTGTGCTTAAGGTACAAGTGTGAAGGGTGACCAAGATATCCTTGATCCTGCCTCTCTGCAGCTCCTTTGAACTTCCTTCCTCTTCTCAATCTGTATGATTATCTTCGCTGAATTCCATGATTTCGTTCCCTGGTGTTTTAATTTAATTTTATTATGTGGCTTTAAAATGCAATAATATGACTGCAAGTGGAATAAATTCCCTGTTGGAATGTTTGGGTCAGCACTTTGTGCGAGCAGACAGCCTGGCTCCTGTTCTGCATGAAGTGAAGTGGAGTAATGTTGGATGGGACAAAGTGTACCCTTGAGTTGCCAGGGATGCTGGCAGCCATGAGAAGCACCCCAGAAGGCAGGTAAATTCACCGTCCTTGTGCCAAAGTGCTACATGACTATCATTTATTTGGGCAGCTAACACAAGAGGCAGCAAAGTTACACCAAGGTAAGAAAGCAACACCCAAACTGTTTGTCTAAGATTTGTGGCTCGGCTTGCTCTGGGACTGTGCTTAGTTCTGATGGCTGCACCCCTTGGAGTTAGCTTTACTGCTTTTGCAAACATAACTTATTGTCAGAGGAGAGATAAGTACTGTGCAGGAAAGAGATGAAAGCAGCTGAGACTCTAAAATAGACATTTAAAACCTTGTAACCCTTAAATGTTTGCTGGCCAGTGGTTCCAGCTGGATTCAAGCTCCTATTTCTGGTACAGAACACTTGCATTTCCTTGTGTATTTTGTGAAACTGATGGCTTGCACACTGCTTACAGAAGTGTTTCCCACAGGACATATGTTGAATCTATGAGCTGGAGTCTGCAGTACCTTCTAACCCATGCCCAGTACTGACCTTTACTTCACATGGGCTGTGGGTTCCATGCTGGCTGTATACCATCCTTTCCATCATTCCTGGCTGTGGGGGTCAGATGAGGCCCAGAGCTAGCACAGGGTTGACTTCCATGTGAGGACATGTACCTGTAGCCGTGGAATGGGGTTTTAACCCTTTAAGTGCAGCGGAAATAAGATGCACAGCTACATGGTCATCTTTCATGACAGGAAGAAAGAGACAAGTTTATTCAGAAACACACTTGGTTTTATAGCATGACTCGCAATTCCAAGAGTAGAGAAAAGATGATTGGTTCAGAGAGAAGACACCCCATTGCCAGGGCCTGGTCACACACCACAACAGGTGTTCTATCTTGTTATTAATTCCTTTTTATTTTGACCAAATTATCACCCTGGGAGAAATTCTCCCTAGCCTTGATCTGGCCCAGCTTATCGGCTGGGAACAGAGCTGAGAAGCTCCAGCCTGGAATATTTTTCAGGCTGTAATTTTCTTACTTTATCAATATGTGTCCCACATGTACCCAAAGTGGCTTTGTTCCCTTCCCACAGCTCTGCAGAATGTCAGTTTGCCAAATCTGTCAACTGTTTATTTACACACCTGTTTTAAGGGGAGGATGCTCTAACAGCTTTATTTGCTTCCTGACTTCAAAGAATTCACTTGTTTGGCGTTTTTAAAAATAATTAATTGAGTACTTTTTCTCATGTGTACAACTTGATTTGTGCTTTACAAGGGATATGATAAGGAGCCAAGTGCAGCATTGAACATGCTTGTGAAGCTGAGTGTTCATTCTGCAGAATCTGTGTAATATTTACCAGTACTATTTGTGATCAGTATACATGGACCTATTCTACATGCCCGTTCTTCCCTTGTGCCAGGAACAAGAGATACATATTTATTTTCATTATCTTGTTGTTTAGTAATGCTATTAACATTTCCAAGGATAGGGTATCACTGAGCAGAACCAGGGGTGGGTAATTCACCAGATACAAGGTGAACACAGAGGAAGTTAAAACTGACCAGGGGTTTCCAGACCTGTGGGTGCTCCAGGCTGTCACAGAATATCCTGTGCTTGAAATGGACCCTGAGGCGTCATGGAGTCCAGCCCCTGGCCCTGCCCAGGCGCCCCAACAATCCCATCCTGTCCATCCCTGGCAGCGCTGTCCAAACACTCCTGGGGCTCTGGCAGCCTCGGGGCCTGTCCATTCCCTGGGGAGCCTGGGCAGTGCCCAGCACCCTCTGGGGGAAGATGATTTCATCCAAGTAAATTCTATTCCCATTTCACGGTTTGACTTAACTGGTTGGGAATAAAGAGCTGGGAATTTGCAGCACAGCTTCTGCTTTTGTGTTTGGAGTCAGAGAACTTTTTCTTCATCTCCTAACCAACCAAAAGTAATAATACCAATAATCACACTCTGACTGTATAAATAAGATCGGAAAATAACCCATAACCAAAAAACCAACCCCAAAGCAACTCTGCAATATATTAGCACACACAAAAAGCCCTCATAACGTTGAGAAAACAAACATCTTGGTTTTCAGAGCTCATTACACTTCCTCTAAAATCACCAGCAAATTGCTGCTGACTCAGGCGCAGAAGAGCAGCCACCCATCGCTCCCGGCGGAGCTCTGCCGGCTGTCACAGCCGGAGTCGCTCCCTCCCTGTTTACTTTCGTTTCTCCAAGTTGCCCATGACCTTTGCTTATCCCGGAAAGGAGGATTGCACTGCGGGCGCCCGGCGTGGGCCGTGTGCTGGGCCCGACACATAGTCACCCTGAAACCGATGGATGATGCTCTGCAGAAGCTGTAAGTGCACATTTGTAACGAGGAATTTGAGCGAAACAGAGGTCTGGAGCTGCAAATTTATGGGAACAGGAGTTCAGAGCCAGAGGGGCAGTGACTCTAACGGGAGTGGCCAGCCCATCACTGCTTTTACATTTTTTCCCCTTCTTAGAGCTTGTTTTTGTAAATTATTGACTAAAACTTGCTGAAGGCAGCCTAGTGCGCAAGATGAGCTTTTAAGAAATACTTTATTGTATTTTCTTAAGCACAAAGAAAGACTGTTAGAGGAACTGCTTAGGCTATCTGGATTCAATTTGTTGCTAAAGAGATTCAGTCCTCTGGCGGTGGGAAAATAACAAAGCGTATTGTGATTCAACAGTTAACAGATGAAACAAAACACTACATGATGATGCTGCCAGGACAGGGATGATATTCAGTAAGTCAAATAATTCACTCAAATAAACAAATCTGTCGGTTTAGCGGGGGAAACAGTACTGGCTTTTAAGATTAGCTAAGCAGGAAATCAATCTGCTGGAAAATAAAACGTTGTTGTGCATGTCACTTCGCGTAGCTACTAAATTCGGAAATTCTGAAATGAGAGTTTGGAAAGGCACCGGGCTCTGTCAGGAAGCGGGGGTTCGCAGCGTGCCGCTCGCCCCGGAGCAGTGTGATGTGCGTGTTTCTCGCCTCGCTGCTCGCCTTCTTCGCCGTGACCGCGGCCGGGATATCGCTTCCCCGTCCGGTTGCGCGCTGTGACTGTCACGGGATGTAGCTGTCACCGTGCGAGGGCGCTGTGACTGTCATAGGATGTGGCTGTCACCGTGCGAGGGTGTTTGGGGCAGCCCCAGCCCGGTCCTTCCCTCCCGCGAGCAGGGGCACTGCCGTGGCCTCTGCTGTGGCCGTGTGGCTCCGCAAGGATCTGGCTGTGCTAGGCGAACCTGACAGCGATCCTGCTGCAGAGGTCTTGCGTGCCACTGGCATGAGGAGGAGATATGTTTAACTTCTGCTTCGTGTGTATTTCTCTGAGTCTGCAGGACAAAAATATCTCCAGGCAGCATCGCAGCTGTACATCGCAGCATTCCTGAGGGATTGATTTTCACTTCTATTTCACCCACTATGCTTGGAATCACTGTGTACTGAAAAACATTTAGATTTTTATTACAGATTTCAGTCCAGGTCACACTAAGATGACCAAGTTTTCTGTTTAGTGGTTTAGATTCCCGTAGTTGAGAAAGTTCTAAAAGCTTTTAAATTTAAAATTTCTAAAATTTCTAAAAGTTTCCAGGGAAACTTTTTAGCAGAGCACAAAATGCAGTAAATTCACAGAGGTATAAAGGGGTCATAAAAACAAATCCTCAGCATGGCATTCTCCCACTGCTTATTAGTATTAGGCAACCCCTCTTGCTATAACGTTTTAATATATATACGGAAGTGAATCATAGAATACAAGAATAGTTTGGGTTGGAAGGGACCTTAAAGATCATCTTGTTCCAAACCCCTGCCTTGGGCAGCGTCACTTTCCACTGCGCCAAGTAGCTCAACCCCATCCAAAATAGTCCTTAAAATATATGACAAGAGGAATTACAAAATTCCAACTTCCTTTTCACAAGGTTTCTGTTTCTTTACTAAAATACATTGCCAAAATCACACCAATGCAGGCATGATCAAGGTCTCCATGTGCAGTAATAACCATTCAAAAATTTATTTTCTGGATTCCAGAAGGTAAATAGGATAAACTCAGGATGTTTATACTTGATCTTCTCAAGGATATGCACCATGAATGTCACAACGTTTGACAGTGCTCCAATTCTCTGCATCATTTATCCCTAGCAAGACATATTCTCTTCCATTCTTTGCTAATTAGTTATTTGTTGATGAAATTTAGTGCAAATAGCAAGCTTTACATCCACAGATTTGCTTGTACTTTTTCCCTCATGAAGTTAAATATCCCGATTAATTAGATGTTTCACTGCAACCTTTTCTGTGAGAGAAGCTGTCCCTGCTCCTTGGGCTTGAATCACTACCTGCCCAATGTACCGTATGTACCAATGTGTCCAGCTGCACTTAAACACGCGTTGTGCTGTGGCACGAGGAAAAATAGAAATTCTACATGGATGGTGTGAAGATGTAGACACGGTATTTTGGACAGTGTAATTACTTCTGGAAAAGGAAATCACGCCTTTACTAATCATGCATTAATTGTTTAAAAACTCGCGGCTGTGCAAGTGTCGATTTATGCTTCTGCACGGGACGGCCTGGTGAGCACAGACATTTGAAGAACTGTTTTACCCGGAAAGAAACTCAAGGCGATGGGAGTTCCAGTGTGGGCTCAGGACGGCTCGGGGGGGCCTGTCCCGGCTCCCCCCAGCTCCCTCCGGCCCGGCCTGCCCCAGCTGCCCCCACCCCGGCTCCCCGAGGCTCTGCACTCCGTCGCCTGGCAGCTCCGGGAGGCGGTGCCGGCCCAGCCGCCCCGCCCCCGGCCCGGCCCGGCAGGAAGGCCGAAGGCCGCAGCCCGAAGGCTGCAGCCTGTGGGCCGGGCGGGGCCGGGCGGGGCCGGGAATGCCATGGCCGGTGAGTGCGGGACGGGCAAGGAGGGGGGACTCTCGGCGGCTTGATGACACCGCTGCGCTGCCGGGCGCGGGGCCCCGGTGTCTCCGCGCCCCGGAGCGCGGTTTGGTGCGCGGTCGCGGCCCGGCCGTGGGTCAGGGTGAGCGCCCCGGGGCAGCGGCGCGGCCCAGGCCGCTCCGCGGGGCCCCGCACGGCCGGGCTGGGGCGGGCGCTGGGACAGCTCGGCGGGGCTGGGGCGGGCGCGGGGCTCGGGGCAGCAGCGGCGTGCGGAGCCCCAGCCTGGTGTCTCCGTTATAGCCGGGCAGTGCCACATTTCACATCCTGGCACGCTAGCTGCGTGCTGTGTGGCAGCGAAATCTGCTGTTTACCCCCAGCCTCCATCCAGCTAGCTGGGATTGTGCCTCTGCATCTGGGGAGCACACAGGTTATCCTGGTGACTCGAGGGCCCGATTGTTTTAGCCATCGTATGGAGCTTGGAGGACTGGGACTGTGTGTAACATAATGTGGCACTCTAGTATAAAATGATTTTTAATACTTTGCTCACTGCAGTTTTGCTACGTTTTCCTCTTCTCTTTTAAAAAATATTTCAAGTGAAAACTCTTTACTCAAGTCTACAATTCCCTGACGGGTGGGTGTAGCCAGGTGGCTGGCAGTTTCCTCCCAATCACCAAGCGACAAGATAGGAGCTAAAGGCCTCCTGTTGCATCAGGAGAGGTTTAGGTTGGCTATTAAGGAAAATTTGTTCATTGAAAGGGTTGCCCAGGCCTGGTACATGCTGCCCAGGGCAGTGGTGGGTCGCCATCCCTGGAAATGTTAAAAAAATGTGTGGATGTGGCACTCCAGAACATGGTTTAGTGCTAAACGTGGTGATGGATTGAACACGGATTGATGGTTGGACTCAATAGTCTTAAGATTCTTTCCCAACCTAAACAATTCTGTGATTCTCTTGACTTGCTGTCAGAGCCCTTGATTTCTGGTAGCTTACCAGTAGCACGTGGCAGTGGGTGGGAGTAGCAGGCGAGGGCAGCATCTTATTTTTTGGCTGTCATCCTTCCAGATCAGTTGCTCTTTGTGGGTGCATTTGGTAACCAGTGCCATCTGATCATCTCAGACCATTTCTCTGCAGCCAGTCTCCTTCTTAAATCCTTGGCACCCCTTTCTTGGGCTCTCAAAAGGGAAAAGCCTAAACTAAATTAGTGTTAAGCTAACATTTTGTTGAGAGAGACTTTTTTCTCTCTTTCCTGAGATGCTTCTGGAAAGAGTTGTCATGGACATGTACAAATGGTTTGATCATCAGATCCAACTTTCCAGGTTTTGTTTGCCAGCTTTCCTGCATAATGTTTATGAAAACCATCCAGAAGTTTTACAGGAAGTAGTAGCTCGTGTTTGCACTGCACAGCAGACACCAGTAGGGTTTTTGGAATGGATGTTAGCCAGTTCTGTGTTTTACAGAGAATGTCAGAGGTCTGCATTGGGTTTTGTGTCCGTTGTATTTAAATTTATCTCCTTAATGATCCTGTTTGTTTGCTTGATAAACTTAAGAAGGCTTTTAAGGGGAAAACAAACCAAAGATGAAGCCATAATAAAGATACAGTGGTGGCAGAGACAGTGTCCGGAGTCCTTACATAAATATTAGTGGAATTATTGATTGGGAGTGTGTACGTGCCTGACTAAAGGTGGTTGGCAGCATTTATGCTCCCAGGGCCCAGGTGTGGATGAGAGTGCTTTCATGTTGCAATGTGGCAAGAAACGGCTGATTTCAGCCTACAAATTTGAAATGCAGCTGTATTTATTTAAATTTACTGTGAGAAATATGAAGTGGCAGTGCAGATCCTAAGGGCCCTGTAGATTTATCCAGAAAGGCAGTGAAAGTCTATCATGGAGAAATGGGTGCGGGGGATTGTGTGACAAACAAAATCCTGTTTGATGTTTCTTGTACAGAAAGCAACATGAGGTTTTTTATGCTAAGAATAGTTAAGCAGTAACAAAATTACAAAGAGTTTTTGGCAACCAGTATAACCCGAAGCTTCTGTTTTGTGTTGTGCCAGTGGCTAGTGACAGCCACAGGGACCACACACCTCACCACTTGCAGTAGTGCAAGGGTTTGTTCAACATCCTGGCTGGTGCTGGTGTCTGGTGTGCCCCTGCCTAGGTTAGGAATTGTGTCTGGCAAACTCCCTGTGAACACTCTGCTATCGAATCAGGAAGAACTTAAGAAAGGGTGTCCCTGATTTTTTTTCTGCAGGTGCTCTAGCAGACAGTCTGGCACTTTATGGTCATGTTTGATAAGATTTTTTTATGAGCCTTGTTATTTCCAAGAGCAGAATCAGAGCATCCCATTGGATGGGACAAGTGTCTTGCAAGTACTGTAAATGTCATAATCTGACTTCATAAGTGATAGAGAATTTATCTTTAGTGATTTATTAACTTTAAGGCTGTATTTGATTAAATATCCATCAGAGCTTGACTTCTAAATGATTTAGAGCCTTCTGCATTTGGAAAGAGAGAGGCAATTGGAGTGACCAGCCAGAAGTTCGGAGTTGTGTAATTTCAAGTGGATGGGTCGTTGAAAGCACATGGCAGTGTTGTGTTTCCCTAACAGACAGTGCAGCTTTCTAATATTAGGTGGGGTGATAATTTTATTTTAGCTATTTAATCACTAGTAGGAAAATGAAATTTATGGAATTTAAATATGGCTTATTAATTAACTGCTGTGGTATGTTCTGTGTTATTTTATCTCTAGATCAGTCATATTGTCATCGGCTGCAGCATGACATGTATTTCCTTACAAGCACTAGCCGACTGAATGAGCAAGTGGTTGATAAAATTGTTCTTCAGCTTAACAGAGTCTATCCCCAAATTCTTACCAATGAAGAAGCAGAAAAGGTAATGTGAGGAGTTTTGCTGTGTCTCTGACTGTTGTGTTGTTTTTGTGGGTCACTAGCCCAGCTGCTCTTTCCCCAGCACAACTCTTGGTGCCACATGCAGCCAGTCTGCCTCACCCCCTGCTTGCTGACCAGTTGTATCTGGCATCTTCTGTAAGAGGAGCAGTCACAGGGCTGGCACGTTCCATGTGCCAAGTGATCATGGGAGAGAATGCTCTCTTAAGCAGCAGTTTAATGCCACGGTCCCTGCCATGATCAGGAGCACGCAATCATGCAGCCAGTCCGCGGGCAGGAGGGCACCCATCCTGTGACCACATGCCTGACGTGCCTGTCTCCTCACGAGGTGGTGTGGTGTGGCACGCCAGGTGATCTGTGCTGCATCCATCTCTGCCCACAAAATTATCTATATTAGCTCAATCAGTTTTGGTAAACAATTAATAATTTTAAGTATTGGTAAGTGAAGGAGTGTTAGTCCCACTATTAAGTGTGGAGCTGTGGGAAGTGGATGAAGTTAATAATATCTTGCAATGGTGCCACCACGTATGGAGGTGCCACCCTCCCTGACATGAAGCCTTCAGAAGTGGGTAGCTCTTTTTAGGGAGAAAAAGCTTCTAGTCTTGTGTGGAGACAAAATTAAAAGTCAGCTAGGAGCTTCCACAGTCCTACTTAAAATAGTCTGTACTTGCCCTCTGCTGGCTTCATGTCTGCACAGGGTCTTAGTGTGTCATTATTTTAACATCAGGAAAAATAGGTCCAATTCTGCCATAATGAAACTCCATGGGGACAATTAGTACTTTGTGGTGTAGAGCAGAGCTAGATCATTTACTGAGCCACTCTTGCCACTTCCCTCAAGAGCTTCAAAATAAACCCATAAAGAATCTGAAACATGATTTGTGACTTCTGCACTTAGGCAGAAATGAACTGCTTTTTTATGGGCCCAGGCTAGTTTGTGTCAACTCTACTGCGTGTTTAGGAAGCTTATAATCTCAGCTGTATCTGGTACACCCTGTGGGAATTTTGTCAGAATAAGGAGTGTTGTGTAAGATCTCTGGCATTCCAGTCCCCCTTGAGTAGTGATTGTTCCTAACTCAGTATACTCCAAAGGTTATCCACTGTGCTGCTATGAAATACGTTGCTTTACGGAGAATGGCTTTGGATTTTTTCCCAAATAAACTGAAATAAGTTTGATGTGTAAGGCTAGGGATGCATTTTCCTTTTCTTTGTAAGGTCTCCTAATACACATCACGTTTAGCACTACAGAAAAAAAGTGTTTTCCTCTGCAGCTGTTTGGCAACCTGAGCAATGGGAATTTGTGCCTATTGAAGTGGATACACAGCAGTTAATTGTGCTGGAAACAATAAAAAACAATTAAATATGAAATCTTGGGATGATGAACACTCCAGTATTGGGACTAGGATAAGCAGTATAAAGTGCTTTTTTGGGGATCGCTACTAGGCAACTAAGGGCAAACTTGAAAGCATCAAAGTTTATTTCAAATTATAAGATTTTCTCAAATATTCTATCTACAGCTGTCAGAATTAAACTGTAGAATAGCAAGTACCATGTCAACTTGGAAGCACGGAAGACATCAAATGCAGTGTCTTTCACTTGATTGGGACAGAGAAAAGTAGGAGGAGAAGCAGAGGCAATATGCTCTCCATCAGACAGTGCTGACCACATGGAGCTCAGTGCTATGCAGTCCATATATGTCCTTTTTAGGTTGCCCTTTTTGGCCCATTCTTTTAGTAAATATCAAAGAAGCTTCATAACTTTGTTCCCTGGCATAGTGATGTAAAATTGATCTTTTAATCTCTCTTCTATTTTAATCTCTTTCCTGATGAATGCTTTTCTCTTACAGTTCAGGAATCCAAAGGCTTCACTCCATACCAGACTCTCAGATCTGTTAAAACACCTCCAAAAGAAAGGAGACAGACACTGTCAGGAGTTTTACAGGGCTCTGCAGATCAATGCTGAACAGCTGTTTAATGACCTGCCAAGCAGGAAAATCTTGAGTAAGTTGACTTGTAAGTTAATTGAGTCGTGGATTTCTTCACCAGAGTATTACAAAACTTCATTTCAAATGCAGTGGAGGTCATTTAAACAACCTAAACAGGTTATAAATAATATAAATAAACAAGTTACTTAAATAATTTTAGGGTATACCATAATTCCTTCTGACTTGAGTTTTCCAAAAGCTGTAAGGGGATTTTGTAATGTAAAATTGTAATTACCTTCATTTTGTCTTTCATTTTGAAAGAATGAATTTGTGTCTACCCAGCACAAACTGGTGGAAGACCATTTTCTTGCCTGCACAGGGAAGCTGCAGAGTTATCCCACATCCATACCTGAATACTTTTGAACTGGGAAAGTCTGGGCCCATCCCCCCTCAGAATCTCAGATGAGCCCCAATCCCAATTGACTGAGCCTCGCAGCAGATTGAAGGCAATGCTTTGTTCTGATATTCACCTTGCAGAAGTTGTGCACTTTGGGGAACAGGCTCTTCAATCAAATTGTCTTGGAGCTATCATTTTTGCTTGGGAAGAGCTCAAGAAAAAGGTTTTTCTGCCACGCTGACTAGCAGTTAGCAGACAGCCTTTATGAATTAAGAGCAGTTCGAGAAGTCTTGGAGTAGTCACTAAGAATAAAATTTCAAGACTGTTTTGATGTTTAAGAGTTGAAGCTTTTTGAATGTTCCATAGCATGTTCTGTAAGCCATTTTTGAAAATGTATCTTTACAAGGAGACTTGGATAGGGTCTGTGGGGTTCTTTTAGCTATAGCAGAAACATGCTCATCCTTGCACATGATTTACGTGGTGACTCTGAGCTTTCCTCAGGTAGCCGTGAGTAGGCAGGGTTAGGGCTTCTCATGTTCAGGTTCTGCGTAGCAAATGCCTGTGCTAAAGTGCTTCACGTTAAACATACAGCTCCTTATGGCACCCGAAAAGTGTTTTGCTGCTGCTGCAAACTGCTGACTTCAATAACCATCAAAAGTAATGAAATTCTCTGTTGTCTCAGTACACTTTTTTAGTTACCATCCTCAGAAGGATGAGGATAATTTAAAGAACTGAGTTAAAACGTTACTGTGTGCCGAGGTTCGGCAGTTTCTTTCTGTTGATCTAAGAAATAAATATTGAGATGATTGTCTTAATATGCTTGCTGCTTCTTAGAATTCTGTAATTAAAACAAATGTCTGCATTCTGGATTGAATGGTCAAGAAACGTCCGTGCAGTTTTTTTAATTAAAACCACCAACACTTTTATGTTTCAGGAAAAGCTCCTCTATCAATATTAGGAGTAACTTCTCATTTAAGTGAGCTTGGACATTTTCAATATTAAAGGCATTATTCTTCAGACCTCCAACATGCACAGTTTGTTACTCGAATGTTACTCCTTGGAAGTGTTCATGGCTAGGATCTGTGGGGTCCTGAGCACCCTGGTCAGTGGAGGGTATCCCTGCCCTTGGCAGAAGGCTGGAACTGGATGGTGGTCTTCAGGGTCCCAAGTCAGATCATGCAATCATTCGATAATGCTCTTAGCAGTAGTTGTTAAATTTGGCACAAAGCATTTACAGAATTGCCGCTGGAATTTGTAAATGTGAAGAAAGAGGGGCATCCTGAACATGGGAATTTTCTTCTAAATGCAGGCTGAACTGAAACAAGCAGCATTATGAACAGGTGGAGAAATTACTGATGAGAACATGGATGAACCATGGCCAGGAGAGAGTTCTGTAATAGATTACATGCAGCTATACATACATAGGACAGATTTTTTCAACAGAGGAAATCCTTTCAAATATTTATTTTTCATTTTTAAGACAGCTTTAAAATTTATGCTAGAACAAGATTTCTTTGCCTGAAGTGTAAATTGCCAGTGAAGTGTCTGGTAATGTCTGAACATTCCCACTAGAGGGGGGTTAAGGAACACGGTGTGGGCAGCCTCGGAGCTGTTGCAGTAAACGGGATTCTCCAAGGGCCATTGAAAACATCAGAAAATGTTTTTATTTCTCTCCGTGCTGACATAGACTTAAAAAGGATAAAGGCTCAGATCAGCCCCACGCAGCGATAGAAGTAGCAGAGATTTGTCTGTGCTCTCCTGTGCACTGTGAGGGTTCCCTAGCTGGAACTCCTAGGGAGGACATCAGCCCCTCAAAGGGGCAGGCTGGGTGAGGCTGCTGGGGGCTCACAGAGGCTTTGCATCAATCCTTGCTGCTCCGGTGACTCTCAGGCTTCACAGCAAAGGGCTTCAAAGGCTTCTGTCCTGCTCCAGGGTCATGCTCTGTTTCCCCATGGAGAGGTATATCCTTAGCAGGGGAGATGGATGTTCCCCTGTTGCTGCCTAGGTGGACAGGGCAGTTTTTGAGGCACCTCTCCTAGATCTGGTGTCATGTAAAAGGAGTCAGTTGAAATTCTTCCCTATTGACAGCCAGATTCAGAGCTCTTACTGTTTTTCCTTTCCTTTTTTAATCCTCCTAACCATTTGAGAGTTGGACTTGGTGATCGTAGAGGTGTTTTCCCATCTTTGTGATTCTATGATTACAGAAAGGCTAAAACAGTGTTGCAGATTGGTGATGTATTATGGAAAGTCACTCGTCTGCCATGCCTGGTGACAGCTGTGCAGGTCCCTTCGGTCAATAGTGTGATCTCCACATCTGTGTGGCAAAGGCAGCTCTGAAAGGGTCTTCTGCCCAGACTGGAAACTACTGAACACCTTGTCCTAAGGCCAACCTCCTTTTCTACTAGAATTTGCAGAAGGATAGAGTCCAAAATTCCTTGTATCAAATGTTAGCATGTAGAGCCTACAGAGTTTTAAAGAAGCTGAGCATGTCTTCAGCTGAGACCTGCATTTAGTAAATAATCTGCACCAAGAAGTTTCTTCTATGTGCTTTACTTGCTAAATCTACCAAGAGATTGGCTCGAGAAAAAGAATGGTGATACATTAAATGATAGAGGTGTTTTCAGATTAGTGCATCTATTAACAAAGAGTTTGTATGTATTACAATGAAAATTGCTGGTATTGTGAAGGATTATCTTCTGCTTTCCTAACTTGGGAAACAAGTGTAATGTTATTTATGTGGTCAGTGCTTAAGCAGATCAGAGGTGAGGCTGCAGCTATTTGTAGTTGCATTCAGATGACTCTCTGCCTGTCTTTTGGTCAGTTCATCTTTAACTCTAGCAATGGTTTACCATTGGAGGGGCTAATACTTTATATCAATATTGGATATTTTTCTGAAATGTGTTGTTTTGTACCATTTTGCATGTGCTGATTATGTTTATTTGTTTGCTTGAGCGGAGTACTAACTTTTCATGTGTTGCTTTTATTTCTAGAAACCCCAGATCCCACAGAGATAGACACTGACAAGGAGCAATATATGCTAAATGACAGGGGTAAATAAATCATACAGTGTCACCGGATGGAATGGCTTTGCAGATTATGATACAATTTATTATATCATGTAATTTGCACTTCATATAACAACTATTTTGGATTATGATGTCTTTACTGTCACAAGTTAAGTAGAATTAATGGAGGAAAATATACTGAGCTACTGTTGAGGAAACCAGTGCCAGGAAATTGAAGAGACTGTCAAGTTTAATCAATATTTACGATGGTATTACTTTACACTATTACAGCTAAACTCTTAATTTCTTTGATTTCTTTAATGCCTGAACAGTGAGGTCTATTCATTTTGCATAAGGCCATCAATAACTTTTTGATCTTCCAGGTTTTTTTCAAATTTTTAAGTTCTCAATTTAACTGCAAATCATTTGAAAGCAATGACAGAAAGGAAGGAAAAGCTTAAATATATTTTCCTTAGGAAAACATTTTAATTATTTTCACCTTCCTTTGTTCAATGCCAAATTACAGAGACAAGTATTTTTTTCATGGTAGGATATTTTGAAAAGGATGATCTGAAATAAAGATGAAGAGTTCTCTCAATTTATAATGAACTATTCTATCATTTAAGTTCAGTATTTTATTTAGAGATTTAGATACAATAATGAGAGATTCAAAACACCTGCTATGAATTACGCCTTTTTTGCAGTTTCCTGAGAGCAAACTGAAATAAGTAGCAGAAACACAGTTTAACTCCATGTCTGTGGTAGTGGTGTTTCTCTGAATATTGAACCAAATTGCTGTTCAGACTTTCCACATTGTTGTTGCTGTCTGCAGCATAACAGTACAGGATGAACAGAGAGAGTGCTTGGAAATAAGAAAATGAAGTAATATTTATTTTATTTTTACTTACTACTTTTTTTTTTTCCCCTGAGCTGGCCTCAGACTAGAGATTGTTTGGCCACTAGCCACCCTCCTTGGGAGGTTACAGGCCAAGGAGCAACCAAATCCTTGCTCCTTTGCTCCTTCTGCAGTGTCCTTGTCCACACAGTCAGCTCCAGGAATTTGTTGAGGCAGTACACTTGTCCTTAAATTGATAGGTGTAGCTTAATTGTATCTACAAATAGAGGTGTAGTTTAATTGCATCTCTGTTTCTAGTGAGATAGTAACTACAAATAGAGTATTAGGTAGTAAAGAAGCAGATATAAATCTTTATGCTGTTTTGTCAATGGATAAGTATGAATTAGAAAGGCTTTATTGATCATCAGTACTGACCATCACCATTAAACTGTGCAATTCCAGGCAGGCAGTTTGCAGGAGATTTGGTTTGGAAACTTTTCTTAAATACCATAGGCTGTAGCTAGATGAGCAGAGTGGAACAGGGAATGGTGGCAAAGCAACTGTAGTAAAAATTAATTGCAGTCTAGTAAATGTGCTTCACAGTACATTAGCTACAGAACATACAGAATTGTGAATATGTTAGCTTCATTTAAATATGCTTAATTATGCATATTGATAGCAATTGGTGATATATGAACTGAGCTAAACTTCTGCTGCCCTGCTCTGTCTCAATGTGTTTCTTTGCCATTTTCTGTAGGCCCGGTGTTTTTCCTGGCGTGTTTCGGCGTGGCTGCAGGACTGGCACTGTTCTGGTACTGCTGTAACTCAGGTGAGCTGCTCAGGGGCTTCTCCTGGCTGCCTTCCCTCAGCAGGGATGGAATGAGCTGGGCTCTTATCTGACAGGGCTCCCTGACAGGGTGGGTGAAGGAGTCATCATTCATTAATGAGCTCCGGATAGAAATTGCACAGCAGACATGCTGAGGTATAAATAATGGATATTTTGCCTACAGAGGATGCCACAAGTAGGGGCTCTTTTTAAAGACAGTCATGTGAGCTCCTGTTGCTATAGCAATGGGTCATGATTCCCAGCAGTCATGAGACAGACCCAAAACCTTCTGGGTCCCACACCCCTTGGGAACTGGTGGAAGCCTGAATAGTGCCAGGGCTGGGGAATGCTGGCTGGATTTGCTGAGTCCCAGCAGCTACTGCTGCCCCTGTGCTGCTGGCTCTGGGTGTTGGTTCTACCTATCACCTGACAGTCACCTGCTCCACACCATCCAGTGCTGTGCTCAGGTGTGAAGTTGCCCCCTTCCCTAACTGACCAATCTCCTCTTCCTGTCTGAACTTGCAGCAAGGAATCTGAACAGTTTTGGCAGTTGATTACTACAAATTGAAGAAATTGGGCTTTCCTCTAGAATTATTTTCAGTTGGTTTTTATTTTTTGCAGATGCTGCTTCCTAGATAAAATTAAATTTAACTGTGTTCACTTTCTCTTTTTCTTCTCATCATTCTGTTGTAGAAACACAAGTCATAGGAAGAGCCAGGAGAATCTTGGGCTTTTCTCCTATTATCATAGGAAGACACGTTAGAAATATTTGTATGTTGTATTTGGAAGACATATCAAGAAATTAAGGAAAAGCTATCTCTTCACTTGTCTGTACAGTGCACCGGCCAAAGGAAGTCAATAGTGCATAAAAACGTCCCATACTCATACCAAAGATTTTATTAACTAGCTTCATCAATAATTGCCTTGCCTCCAGATGTATTCGGAATTTCAGCTAAAAATGTCCTTTTTTATGGGAATGGACTGTTTATTTTTGTAAATGCTTAAAGTATTTATCGTTTGTATAAAAAATATTTTTATTACAAGCTTTAAAATGATCTCTTAAGTGAGCATGAGTCTGAAGCCATGTTTGCATATGTTTTCTATACTGGAATGAAGGATCACAACTGTTTGAAGAACTCTGGCCTGTCTTTTGTGAGAATTAATTTAGGAAAAGAACTTAAACACATGCCCTCAAAGCCTTACTAAGAAATGGATCTCTGTCTCAGAACTGTCTGTTTTGTCTAGATCCTTTATAATCGCTGCCTGAGCTCAGGTGGGCACTGGCACCAGTGAAAAGTTTATGGGGGCCACTTCCCTTTATGTGTGCCTTGTATTCACTGTGTCTTCTGATTCCCTGTTGGTGCCTCATGCCAGCCTGCCTTGTTCACAGTCACACTCAGCTGCTGGCCCTGGTTTGCATGCCCTGGAGCTGGTGCAGGCTGGTTCCCAGCCCATGGGGTATTCCAGGGAGTGGAATATCTGACCTGAAGCACTTCAGACTGCCAAGAAAATGTTCCAGATTAATTTAGTTTTCCCTTTCCCAGTGAAGTGAAGGGAGGCTCTGCAGAGAGACTTGGACGAACTGGACGGCCGGGCAGTCACCAAACCAGTGAAGTTCAACAAGGGAAAGTGCCAGATTGTGCGCCTGGGATGGGGCAATCCTGGATGTACAGGCAGGCTGGGGAATGAGATGCTGGAGAACAGGACTCTGCAAAGGGACCTGGGAATCATGGTGGATGCAAAGTTGGATATAGTCAGCATTGCCCTGGCGGCCAGGGGGACATCCCTGCCCTGAGGGGCACCAGGGGACCAGGAAGGGATTGTTGCACTCTGTTCTGCACTGGGGCAGCCTCACCTCAAGTGCTGGGGGCAGTTTGGGCACCACAATATAAGAAAGATACTAAACTACTAGAGAGTTTCCAAAGGACACTTCCAGGGATGGGGCAGCAACAGCTTCTCTAGGCAACCTGTGCCAGGGCTGGGGGAAGAAGATTCTTCCCTATGAGAAGAAGGAATTCTTTCCCAGTATGGTACGGAGTAAGGAGAGCTTACTATGGCTAGGGCTATATTTCCTCCCTTCCTGAGGTTGCTTGAGATGAGGATGTCTCTCAGGGAAAAAAATTATCCAGAATGAACTATTCCAAGGGTTGAAGCTGGAAGGAGAAAGAAAAAGTGAGTCTTGGTTCATCCTAGTGTTAAAGAACCTAACAGCAAAGAATAGAAACCAATTTGTTCCTTCATTAGTGCAGTGAACTTCTGTCTGCCTTTAAAATTAGAATGTGCATAGAGTGGGAGACATTCTTTTTCTTGGAATATTTTTCTTTCAGGAGCTTGCTTCTCTGCAAGCACATCTATACAGCACATATGAACAGTGATAATTCCATTTTCAGCTCCTGGAGGAAGCACACGTGCACCTGCATGGGAGTCAGGTCCTTCTGGGCAAATGGTGTTACGGATTTGGGAGTAAATTGAGCAGGGTCTTGGATGCAGCTGTTTAGCTGCAGAATTCCAGTTTCCCTGGCAAGTCAAGAATAGTTTGGCCTTCGCTGCTGAAACTGTGCTGGTATTAATTTATAAACGTGCTTCACTCTTTGTGCAGGGCAGTTGTCCTGGCTGGGTTGTAGGTGGTTCCATGCTGCAGGCAGGAATTGTACAGGAGCTGAGGTACTGGCCTGAGCCATAGAAATGGTTAAGGCTGAGCGTCTGTGCGCACAGAGCCAGGATGCAAAGTGATAGATCCTACAAAGAATTTGCACAATTCCATTTAAAGTCAGACTGCTATTTAAAGGACTTAGTGATGTGCCTGATGAGCTGGAGTGGGAATGAAGTGATGATTCATTCTGGGATGCACTGGGCTGCTTTACAGCTGCTGGATTGAGTTTGCAGTTAAAAGTGCCTTTGCCGAGGCAAAGTTAATCCTTTTGTTTCTTTCATTTGTCATTATTTTTCTCATACTGTAATAAATTGAGAACGTATTTGGTCAAAATGTGCCATCATGAATGCTTTTCCCTGCCATTCTGTGTGCATGGATGCTACTCCATGTTATGCCATGCCTTGGCTGTGCGGCCAAGAATCGGCTTGCTGCACTTCACAGAGCCTGTGTCCTGTAGTAATTTCTCTGAACGTACATCTTCTTGAATCCTGTAGAAATTAATGTATTTCTTTTTTTTAATGAGGTGAAGCTGGCAATTAAATTGAAATAAAATCTGAGAGAAGAATGCTGCTGTTTTTCTTGTAGTTAATGCTCTGCTCTTCCTTGCAGAAGTGCCCCTTGGTTGTTGCCCTCTTGTGGCTGCTGATCAACCTCTCCTGGGCTCTGGCCTCTCATGGTTAAATTTTTCTGGGTATTTGCACCAGGATTTTTAACATTTTCACCTAATTTCAAAATTGCAGTTTTTCTGCTTAGCTTTTTTAGAGACCTGGAGTTAAACAGGACTCATCAGTTCAAAGACTGGGTGTCTTTGGGTTAATCCTTGATTTTGTGTCATTTTGGGAGTTCCAAGGGTCACTGCCCATGAAGCTTTGGAAGAAGTGCAATGGTGCTTTCTGTAAAGGGACTTTGACACATGGTTCATTTTAAGTGCTACTTTGACCACCCAAAAAAGGACTTCATGTAAGGGAAAGCATGCAGACAGTTTTGTTACTGGCCTGTTCCTTTGCATAAGGGGGAACTGCTCGTCTGGGTGCTTCTATGAGCAATGTTAAGAATCCCACCAAAGGAACTTCTTGCTGTAGCAGGAAAATCATGGGATCATTGTTAAGGTTGGAAAAGGCCTCTTAAGATAATTAAGGCCGATCTGGCATCACCACCATGATCACCATTAAACCATGTCCTGAAGTGCCACATCCACATGTTTTTTAAACACTTCCAGGAATGGTGACTTCACCACTGCCCTGGGCAGCCTCTTCCAGGGCTGGGCAGCCCTTTCTGTGAAGAAATATTTCTTAATATCAAATCTAAATCTCCCCTTACACAACTTGAAACTTTAGGTGGAGTCAGTTACCCATAGCCAGGATTGCATTTGCTGCTGCAAGGCTCTCTTTGGGGATAAGAGGAGCCCCAGAGCTTGGCATTGGATTCTGTTGAACAGGGCCTGGCTGCTTGTGGAGGAGGATCTCTGAGATAACTTCATCAGCAGGAGAGATCCCCTTCATCCTGTGCCCTTCTGTGGACTGACTCCCTGATGAGCTGGAGCTGGACTCCCCTCCTTTCCCAGTGGTTTGTGGACCCCTGGGGAGAGGAGCAGCTGTGTTAGCGGGAGGCTGTGCTTGTGCTGGTGCCTGTGCTGGGCAGCATGTCCCAACTCTCTGCCTCTGCAGGAGCAGCCTCGTGCCAAGTGCCAGGTGAAGGGACCAGAGCAGAGCATATGGGGCGCCACCAAGGTTTGGATATGAAACAACAGCCTGGTGAAACTACAAAACTAGGATTCGGAGGAGGGGGTACTTTTCTATCTTCATCTCACCCATTTCATAGGGATATTACTAGAGCCAAATGGAAAGAAATCAGAGGCAGGAGATGAGACATGTTTGCAGCAACACTGCTCCAGTTAATTCAGTACCACTGCTTTGGCATAAAAGAGCATTTTGGGTGAATCCTGAGCTGCCCTCTCTATTTTGGAGCACAGGCCACCACACACTGTGGTCACAAAGAAAAGCTTTCTGCCAGGGTACTGTTGGTAAATCTTTAGTAACATTGTGTCTAGTAAAGCAAAAACCTTTCAGACAGTCTGTGCTTCATGCATTGCTAACAGATGAAGTCAGGTGCTAGAGTGGCACTACACCTGAAGCCTGGATAAATCACAGGCGAGACATGTTCTCACGGCGGCACAGTTTACAGTAAAATATTTCATCAAACTCAGGTGGCTTTTTTTTTCCCTTTTATGCCCTGGTTTTAGCTACCCTGGGAGTGTCCCAGTGCTCCAGCCCTATGGGCACTGTCTGGAGCTGCTCTGTGCCATCTGCCATCTGGAGCTGCCTTACTCCCTGTCCTTCTGGGACAGGGAGCACTACTGGGTCCTGGGGCTGCTCCCTGCTGAATGCTCTACAGCAGCAGAAACAGAGAGAACTAACATTATTTTTCCTCTGTGGGCTCTGAGCTAATTCATTTTAAGAGCTCCTAGTGGAGATTGGAATGAGGATGCCTGTGCCTCTTAAATATTCCTGATCCATAATGGTTCCATACAGCTGGATTTTGCTTCACCTGTGCCTCTGGAGCTGGCTCACAGTCAATTTATTATGGTGACTTTGCTCTGCCCTGGAAGAATGCTGTTCTGCCAGGAGGTAGGGAGACAACTTACATCAGGCTGGAACCAAATTCAAAGTCCAGGTATAAAAGGTAAAATTATAGCAGAAAATAGTAATTATTAGTAATAATTTAGATAGCAGTTTTCTATGAAAGAGTTGCAATGGTATCTTTCAGGGTATTTCCAGGAGCTCTGTGAGATACAAGTGAAACTCATCTTGGTGAGCTCAGAGTCAATAAGAAAACAAGTAGCAATTAAATTCCTCATTCAGAGCTGGATGAAATTCAGCCCTGGATGAGTCTAGGCTGGTCCTGACTCTGGAAAGGTGAACAAGACTCATCATTCCATTACACCCTGTGTCTGCAAGTGAAGAGGACATGCAAATTAAGGAAAATATTAACAGTGACATCAGGTCTGAAGATTGCAGGACCTCTATATGATAACCTGGGTCCCTTCAAGATGCTGTGAGGAGTCCTGCAGTGCAGCTGCGGGATGGGGGGCTTTCAAACATGGGGTTTTTATCAGCATGGAGAAGAAAGAATTTTTACGGCGTATGAAGAACACTGACCCACACAGGCCCATTGTGGCTTGCTTCCAATACTTGCACATCACCCAGTTTGTGAAACTCAGTCACGTTACCAAGTCACATTCCCAGGATTTGAAACTCTACAAGGGATGGAGAGGCCTGAGGGAATACAGTCATTTCTTTCCTGAGCAATGCTCTCCCTGGCATGCCTGGTGAATCATGTTTTCTGACACAGAAAAAAGTAACTCCTATTTCATGGTAAAGACACATAGCTGTCTCCCTCCATATCTTCCACAAATCCAAAACAAATCTGAAACATAAGGCCTTCCAACAGTTTAGATTATTTTCATCTGTCATGCCAGAAATCTGTGGTAATGTTGGGTGGTGACCAAACTGGTTTCTTCTCAAATATTTTTGGCACCAGTGAAAATGTTTTGCAATGTTTCAGTAGTTCTGGTGTGGTGCTTCCTAGCATGGCACCATATTTCCCACTCACCTCCTGACTAGTTAAAACTTGTACCATTAAAAAGGCAGTGGGGCTACTTCTAGGCTGGAAGCCTGGAAAAAAGAGGAGTGGAAAACATCAGGAAGGAGGCTGAACGAAAAAAGAACCTGACTTTTTGCCGTCTCCATTTCTGACAAAGCCTGACTTGCCTGATGAGAAGCCATTGATAAGTCTCTGTTCCTGTTTGAGAGCTGTGGTACTTTTTATGGGAAGGCAGCCAGCTAAATAAACAGTTCGTGTTATGAGAATCCAAGGGGATAAAATGAACCGTGAAAACAGACCTTCAACAGACTGTGGAGGAAGAGAAAAGTGAATTCAAAATAACCCATAGCATCCAATCGGAGGGCAGGTAATGTTTTGTCCCCACCCTGTTAGGAAGTTGGATAATTATTGGATAGATATTATTTTGAAAAGATTGTATTTTGTGTTTCACAACCTATCCTGAAATGACATATCAGTGACCCTCCCACTGGCATGGCCATGGTCTAAGTACATCAGGAGTGAGGATGAGTGGGGGCATTTACAGGCAGAGCCAGTCAAAGGTTGGACTCAATGATCTTTGAGATCTCTTCAATTCTAAATGATTCAGTGATTCTGTGACTCCGTGATTTCATACAGTGAAAATACTTTGATCAGCGTGAAAATAAGAAATCCCTACCAACAGCTGCAGCCTTTATATACCACATTTTTTCCTGTCAGTCTCTTTGCTGTGGATGTACTTCCAACAATGTGTGCTTCCTGACATGCCCAAGATCTGTCTGCTATCAATCAGCTCGAATTGTAGGGTCAGCTCTGCCCATGCTTCTGCCCCATTTGCCCTCCCACTGCTGCTGGATGTGTTCAAATGTCAGGATGGGAATAATTAGTGGTGGGGAGAGGGGTGAAACTCCTCTCAGGTACAGGGTACACTGACACATCACCCTGCAGCACCTGGATGCAACCAGCCTCTGATGGAAACTGCTCTACGGCCTGCTGTGGCCATGCTGTTATTTATCTCTTCTGGAGTGCCTTCTCTCATTTATTTCAATTTACTTCTTTCTCTAAGGACATTTCAGCTTCTGTCTCTGGTTTGGCTTTGTTGATCAGCTGTGAATACTAAAGGGCTCTGGCAAGGCTACTGCAGGCACTGGGTGGTGGGGTCTTGGTGCCTCCTCCAGCCCCTTTTCAGCCTGCAGCATGTTCTGAGAAATGCACCTGGGCTCAGCAGAAACACTGTCTGCTCCAGGAACTGGTGCTGTCCAATTCCTCCCAATGTCCACCTTGAGCCTCCCCTGGCACAGCTTGAGGCCATTCCCTCTCCTCCTGTCCCTGTTCCCTGGGAGCAGAGCCTAACTCCCCCTATCTGTCCTCTCCTGTCAGGGAGTTGTGCAGACCCACAAGGTTCCCCCTGAGCCTCTTCTTCTCCAGGCTGAGCCCCTTCCCCAACTCTGTTCCCTCCTCTGGACATGCTCCAGCCCCTCAAGCACTTTCTTGTTGTGAGGGGCCCAAAACTGACCCCATGATTCGAGGTAGGGTCTCAGCAGTGCCAGCACAGGGGATGGGCACTGTCCTGGTCCTTCTTGCCCACCTGGACTCCTGTTCAGCCACTGCCACCAGCACCCCCAGGGCCTTTCCTGCCGGGCCCTTTCCAGTCCCTCTGGCTCAGCCTGGAGCTGCAGGGGCCGTTGTGATCCAAGGACAGGACCTGGCACTTGGCCTTGTTCAATCTCAGACCACTGGCCTTGGACCCAGCCTCTCCAGATAAACTATGGAACCTTCCTGCCTGACAGCAGATCAATACTCCCAGCAACCTTAATGCCATCTGCAACCTCACTGTGGGTACCGAAGTTGTTAAAACACCTAAATGGTGGTTGAGGGGATACAGAAACCAGGATGGTGCTTTCTGCTTCAGCCTATTTTATGTAAGACTCAGCATCAGAATAAGCTCCAGCAGTGACCTGGTTTAGAAGACAAACACTTAGGAGTCAGTTCCAGTAAATATGGCTGTTGTCACCTGCTTCAGTAAGTACAGCTAGGCTGAAAATCCCAGCCCAGGCTGTTCTGGATGCTGAAGGGACTAATGAGAAGGACCATAAGCAGTGTTCACCCTGCTCAGAGCTTATGAAATAGGAGCAAGTGGCTGACCTGGCATGAACTGTTCCCCACACAGACTGGAAAACTCATCTTGCTTCATTACGGATGATCTCTTTCTAAAAGAGTTATTTGCCACCAACAAAGAACTCTGAAAAAGCACAGCAAACCAAAGTACAAGTCCGAGAATGAATCAAACTGACATATTTGTTAGCTGCCCCTCAGATATACTTGCCAGGACTTTAAAGCAGCACCTGACTTAAAAGAATAATAATCCTGTGATTAAATTATTTATACTTGAAACCAACTTGAAGATGCTTCTGTCTGCTAAAAAATACATGAACTCTGAAGGCTTCAGAGACTTAAAATACAGATTTCATGTCTGAGAATGTTTTGCAAATCTTACTTAATCACAATAAAAGACATGGGAAGCAGCACCAGAAGCATGACAGCCATGAGTCCTCATGAGGGCATGAAGAGTCCTACAGCAGTTGATGGTTTGTAAAAAATAAATACAGGAAGTTGTCCTGTGTGCCTCATTCAGAACTTGGTCTGACCTATGGTTAAATTAGTACAGCACACACAATTTAATCACTGCTTACTGGATACTGGTTAAATACATGCTACAATGGAAATGAAGCAACATAAGACAAATTAGAAAATTAAAAAAGCATGTCTATTCCGTTACTAATCACACAAGTTTGATTTGTTTTCCATTAGTAATTCTTACAGAACATACATAAAAGTCTGGCTTAGAGACATAACCAAAGAGAAAGGTCAGTAATAAAAACTGTAAATGAGATGAGACACATGAAGTCAATCTTCTATTCTTATGTAGAAGTGAGCATTTGAAAATTGATGCTAAGAAAATTGATTAATACAAATCTGCATCTACATATAAGTGCAACCTAGAAAACTCAAATTTTTATGTTTGCAGGTATGATACTTTGGAAATAAAATGACTAAAATATTTTTGCTGAAGAAATTCTTGGAACCTACACCATTACTAGCAATAGTGTATTTATAAAAAGTGTAAGTCCCTGAGCCAGCAGGTAAGAGCCTTGAAGATAATTTTATCTCTATATATATATTTTAAAATAAAAATTTAAAGATTGGTTTTGCTTTTAGCCATTAACTCATAAAAGTAACAAAATTGCAACAATCAATGATGGGAAGGGGGAGAGGAAACTAGAGAGATAAACTCAGTTCATTTTGCCATTTGAATTGCTGCTGACAGGTACTTGGTACCAGTTTAGCAGGTGAAGTTCAACCTGGATCTTCCAGTTTACCAGCTGAGCCTAGAAAAGGTGGCAGAGTTTCCAGAAATTTGATATAAGAAGGAACTGTTTACAATGAGGGTGTGGAGGCCCTGGCACAGGGTGCCCAGAGCAGCTGTGGCTGCCCCTGGTTCCCTGGCAGTGCCCAAGGCCAGGCTGGACACTGGGGCTTGGAGCAGCCTGGGACAGTGGGAGGTGCCCCTGCCCGTGGCAGGGGTGGGACTTGATGTCCTTTAAAGTCTCTTGAATCCAAACAACTCAGTGAATCAAATAAATACATATAATGCACAGAATACACAGAATAGCAGTTCATGGAAAGAAACCATTAACGATTAGGTTATTTGTGTCTGTGCATGAAGGACAGGAAATTTCAAGTGTGTCCAGAAGAAAGAATACAAATGATTACCTGTGAACAGAATGCTGCTTGTTTCTCTTTGTCTCATCTTTGCTTTAGCTAGAGTGGAAAAAAAAAGAAAAACAAGGCATAGCTACCTTAACGTGCTGCAAGAGAAGAGCTCTGCTGGGCTACAGAGTACAAGGAGTTGGTGCTAAGCTGTGAAATAAAGGAAAATGTAACCATGTCAGAATCAAAGGCCTGACATTTCTTACAATGGTGGAAATGACAAATTGCCACAAAAACCAAAGGCATTTAAAAAGAAAAGTCCTGTGAAGTGCTACCAGATGATATTTCCTTGTTTCATGAGTTTATGGTACTTCTCTGAAAAAAAAATTAAATTTCTTCAGAAATTGAAATGCCAGTATTCCAGAAAAACAGTATCCTTGGGGGAATATCAACCTTTTCTGAGATGCCAAACAGTTATATATTAAGACATGGGAAAATTTCAGGTATACAAGTGTGTTGGAAGCTTAAGAAAGCTGCTTGGTGTGTTCAGCTTCTTCAAATTGTTTTTCCTTCCCACTATGTCCAGTGTAGCTGGCTCAGCTGCAAATGGCATCTAAAATGAATGCTCCAGGCCTCTGAAACACAAAGACATTGATATTTTAGTGATACAGGAATTACAGTAAATGACACATTTGCTTTAAAGGGGGAATTAAGTTTTCTGTGTAAAAGGGGGCATAATAGTAAAGGTGAAGCCAGAAAATGGTGGCCACCCACTTCTCTCACGGTTTTGAGGAGACTGTGGCAACAGATTAAAAAACACTTATTTTTCAAGATACACTGAGATGATCAGATGTTTTCAGCAAGGGCAATGGGTACAAATGAGCAAAAAACAGCTGCAATGTTCCAAAGCAATACAGAAGTTTCACATTTAACAAATCTGCAGCAAAAAAGACGTTCTGGACACCACATCTGGCTGTTTAATTAGGAAACTGCATGTGTGAGAGCATGGAGGCAGGAGCCCACAGCTGCTGGCTCTGTTCTGAGCTTCCTTTGCCTATTTCAGATCCTTGTCTCCGCCTCTGTCCCAGGTATTGTGCATGTTTTGTCCTGTGAAGGCAGCTAAAATTCCAGTGATCCTTCACGCAGTTCTCCCAGCTTTGCCAATGTAATTTTGGGGTTAGTGCTTCAGTACTGCTTTAACATGTACTGCTGAAATCAACATTCTACCTGTATTTCTGATAAGAGCTCAGATAATCTATGTGCTCTTCGCTGTTAAAATTAAATATTTATTAGTCTGTTTGTAGCGACTATGGCAAGAAAATGCAATAAAACAATCTTGTTTCACTGCCAGAATTTCACGTTTTTGTTAAAGCAGAAAATTCCACCCACACCCTGAGATAAATTAATGTAGTTTTCATCTTCCTAGTAAGTTTTTGCACTGATTTCCCCCCATGCTGTTTCGTCTGATGATAAATTTTTGTTTGACTCCCACTCTTGTCACATATTTCTGTTGTACTGTTCATCTACAGGTTAATGGTTTAACCTTAACCTCTCTTTTTCATAGAGAAAGGGTTTCCTGTAGAAGTTTGCCAGAAGCAGTAATGTTACATGCACAGGCTGTCCGTGTAGCACAGAGTGCACCATGGCCGGTCAGCCCAGTCATTCCTTCTTCAGCAAGTCTCTAACCCTGGGCTGAGATCTGGGAGACTAAGAGCCAGAGCAATGCTGGCACACATAGACTTAGCAGTGCTATTTTAAAGGCAGATGATGACCACGGTGTTTCTTGTGTTAGAAGCCTACAATTTAGGTTTATCTCCTCCCAAACTGCTCATCATAGCTATGATGCTAGGAAGATACTCAGTTTGATCCCCACAATTCCTATATTTATCCTTCTGTGTAAGCAAAGAACAAAGCTGAAAGTGTAGGTAGAGCAACAACATTGTCCTAAATGGCCACATGTGAAGTGACAGTGCTCATCTTTGTGGGTTGAGCCTCCCACAGAGCAAAGCCCTGTCCTGAGGACAGAGGAGCCACACGATCTGCAGCCAGCACAGGAACTGAGAGGCTCCAGCACGTGCAGTGTTACATGTCCGATTTACCAGCCCTAGCTACTTGGAAATAGATTGTCTTCAGTGTTAAGTAACAGACTGGGTGCAAACCTTCCTTTTAAAAAGGAGAGGCATTTGGAGAAGGCAGAACATTATTTCCCTTATTGTCTCAGTCAGCAGTAAGGAAAAGGAGTGGCTAGGCCAGGACAATCCTTACACTTCCTATGGGTGACACGTGCTGCCGTCAACTTTTGAACTCCACATTCACAAACACACTGTAATAACTTACCAGTTCCCAGTAGCTTCTGTTTTTGCTCTAATGGGAAGTGAACTCAGGTATTTGCAAGAATTTGGACAGTACAGATCAGCCTGTGGCTGTTTCTAAAGTGCCCCAGTGTGCCCTGCATTCCTGGATGCTGTGCCCTGCTACCTCATGCTGCAGGAGACCACACTCACCTGGTCCTTACTGTCTTGATGCTGACTCAGCAACTGGTTTCTGCACTCCAAAGGCAGTGATAAAAATATTCACAACTACTATAATGAATACTAGTCCAGTTGCAAGGTTGTTGAGGAAATTCAGCTTTCCATGTTTTGCAGGGTTGTTAAGGTCATATTTTACTTCAAAGAGAAAGGAAAAAAATGTTTAATGATATGTATATTTCAAAATCCAGAATAAAAGGTTTCATACTGCTGCAGTTAAAGAATTTATCTTCTGCTAACCTATTTAGATCAGTCATATTTAAAAGGGAAGGCAGATTCTGCAGTGTCAGTGAAAGTGCTAAGGGGACGGTCTGTAACCACAAGGAGCCTATTAACTTCCAGTAATTAGCATCTAATCTCTGTGGAGACACATGGGAACTAATGGATGCACTAACATCACAAGAAATCTTTCGAGTTCTTGATGTTTTGAAGCCTAGCTTTGTTGCAGACTTTTAAGCATTTGAAAATTATTTCAGTCTTGAACACATGAAGCTTGAAGCCCTGGCAGGATGAAGTTAAATTTCCTAGTTAAAATGCTACAAATCTCATTGCCAGTGCTGGATTTTTTTCTGTACTGGTGCCCTTCCACAGCTTCTATTCCCTCATACTCCCTGCTTTTGCTCTGATTCTGTTTTTAGAAAGCAAGGGTCTCTATCTGTTAAACAGAGGGAGATGTCAGAGCAATGTAGCTGCAGTCCTTTTCACAGAAAGCATCCACTGTATAAACATTTTCCTTTGTTTCTTGCAGCTGTTTTTTGGTTGAACTGCTAAAGGGAGTGAAGGAGGCTCACACAAGGGAGATAGCATTAATATAGTGTAAGCTTTGATTCCAGGCCTCGTGATAGCATACAAATTAGTTACATTGGGCTGATAATAGGTTTGGTTTAACACAGTGAGAACCCTGGGGCACTTGCCTGGCATCATAGAATCATTCAGGCTGGAAAAGACCTCCAAGATCATCAGGTCCAACTTTGACCAAATACTATCATGCCCACTGAAAGCCCAAGAGTTTCCTGTCTCTGGTAGCAAGGACCCTGCAGCTCAGACCCTTGGCTACACTCCTTTGATGCTGGTGGAGTGAGGAATTCTGGAACATGTTTGGAGAATGGGTTTTGTCTATTAAGACTCCAAGTTCTCAGAGCATAAATCACTGGAGCTTGTGTCTGCATGTGCACAACATATGAGAGAAAGTTTATACTAGACAAGTTTTTACAGCAACATAAAACCTAGAGCTTCTTCTGATGGACACATACATAGACATACAGCTATGACTCTATCACACAAAATAAATCTTGTTATTTGCTTGTACCATTATCACCCTGTTCCATACTGCAGCAGTGACCCACTGAACAAATACCCCTTGTTGTTGAAGCAGCTAAGTGGTCACAAACACACTCGTGATGCTGAAGTGCTAACAGCCAGGTTCACCTGGGGTCCCTAATAATACTGTTTTGGTTTCAAGGAATTCAGGGTGCATGCTCAAGTTCTGTTTGCTAAAGCAATGTAGTCAAATATCACAGGCCAGGCAAAGCACTGAAGAACAGTGTGGGGGAACTGCCCTGAGAAGCTACTGCATACCTGTGCAGGCATGAAAAAATTTAAGTTCAGTAGTACTTTAACCCTAAAAGGAGTTGACACATCTGTAAAGCATATGGGGGCATGTGGATGCCTGCATCTCAACCTGACCTGGAAGGACTCCAGTACTGCCATGGGAATGAAGAATAAATGAAATGGATCATTAATTCTAAAACACGGAATAGGAATATTTGAGACAGTTGGGTTAAAATGGAAAGGCGATAATGGCCTGACCTGTTATGTGAGTTAAAAGCAATCATGCTGAAAGGCAAACTGAAACTTTCAGAGCTGTCCCTTTGTCCAAAGGAGGGTGAGACAAGACAAGTAATACTTGTCAGTTTAGGAAGAGCTCTAAATTTTGAAGCAGAATCAGAGTAATCCTACCTTTGTAATTACAGCACTTAAGATGAGGGTGTTTGTGAAAATGTTCTTAAGAACAGTTATTCTTTAAGTATTTTATTACAGTGGATTACTATGATTTCATGCCACTGAAACTATTTTAAGACATTCTTTACTTTTATTCCAAAAATCTAAGGTCACCAAATCACTTCCAAGGACAAGTTTGCTTAACATTTCTCACAGTGTTTTCGTGAAAGGCTCTTCAGAAGGAGGAAAAGCTTTTAATACCTAGTAGAAACTGTGAGAACTGGTAGCTCCCGGGATAAAACCCTGACTCAAGGAAAGAAGCTGGATGGTGGCACAGACTTTTGTTTGGCCATATGAGAGCTTAAAGAGACAGAATTTCATGGCTGGACAGAGGCAAACAATTCCTAACAGCCAAAACTATAAAATATATATTGTGAAAAGCAAGTTATTGCTCTGATGCCTATATCTTCATACCTTCGTGTCCTATTTCTTGTCTTCTTTCTGTCTTTGACCTCAGCAGGACAACACTGTCCCAAGATTGCATCACCATAAGCCAAGGGCTCTGTCACCCTCAATGTGACAAAGATAAAAATGACAGCAATTTAAACCATTTTAGCAGTGTCTTGCAGAAACAAGCATTAAGAAGTAGTATCTCAGCATATACTGAGAAATCATTGCCCAACAGAAAGACAGAGATCTTGTTTATAGCCTCAAAGTCTGATGAAACACCAAGGGAGATGCCTTCAACCGAGAAACATAAAAGTATTTTGCTGATTTTTCCATTACTCGCTTCCCACACCTCCCAGCATCATCAGGTTGGTTTTTTTTCAGTCCCCTTCTGGAATCTCCTCTGAGCCAAGACCTGGGTTCTGCTATTGCACCAACTCTAACAAACGTAGAAACAGCTGTATTCCATCTCTTTTGTAAGAAAGAAAGAAGCTACATGAACTGTGACTATGACAAGCCATGTGTACCCTGGATCCCTAGGAACTTTCTCCTTGAAGCGAACATTGTTTTGTCAGCTGTGATGAGAGCAGAACACAGAAAGATTGACGGGGATGTCAAAGGTGGGACTCATAACTCATTAAATACCATGTGTGAACTTTCCATTTACATTAAGCCCAAGGTCAGTTATCTAGTCCCACTGAGGTAAAGGGTGAGATTTGAGAAACACTGAAAATAAATGATCCCATATCACAAGCAAAAATGATCCACAGCTGTTTCCTACCAGTGGTGGTGTCATTCATTCCAGGTGGGCAATGGTAGATGCAGTTTGATTGCAACAAAGCCAAGCTAAAGACAACAAGCCACACCAACATGATAATGGACATTTTGACTTTCACTTCCCTTTCGGAGTTCCACATTCACAACATTTTCTTATATGACTGATATGGAAAAAATATATTTCAGTCATAAGATTAAGTAACAGGTCTTGCCAAAAACATTATTATGAAACTGGATAGACTGCATTATCCTATCTGGCCTACTGATGCTTCTTCTATGACATTTCATAATTTCCCTTCCTGCTCAGGCTTTCTGGAGAAAAAAATAGTCATAGTATGGGCAAATGAGTAGGAGGAAGTCGACAAAAATTGAAGATTTCACATAAAATTGGCCTTCCTCCCTTTGTTGCAGTATTCCTATGGTTTCAAGAGAAAATATGTATTTTTGGATATTAGGAAAAATTTCTTCACTGTCAAGGCTGTCAAGCATTGGAACAGCCTGCCCAGGGAAGCGGTTGAGTCAACACCTCTGGAGATAATTAACAGACATGCAATTGTGATGTTTATGTACATGGTTTAGTGATGAACAGGGCAGTGCTGGGTTAACTTTTGGACTAGATGATCTTAGAGGTCTTTTCCAACCTAAATGATTCTATGATTCTAATCTGAATCGGTTCTGAGGTAAAAGCTCTTTAAAAGCAAAAGGTGTGTTTATTTACCAACTTATAGGCTGTGTCCTATAAGAAACATACAAGTCAGTGGTTCTTGCTGTTGCTACCTACCAAGGAATATGAGGAGCACCCCCACCATAACTTGCAGGGTGAGCGACAGGCTGATGAGAATGATTAGGGGGACGTAGAAGGAAAAGGAGGGCCCTTGCTCCATGACAGCTTTGAGCTGGGAGGCGTTGGCCATCAGCAGGGCGATGTCCAGCATGCTCTCGGCTGCGCTCTTCTTGTTGGCGTAGTGGTTGATGTTGATGGGTCTGTTCCTTTGGAACCACTGCCACGTTCTGCGCTGGAGCCACCAGAGAGGAAAATGGTTATTCACATCTCTTAACTGCTCGAGAGTGAGACATCACTTGGCCCACCAAATGATTTATGTGGTCATATAAGCAGAGCCACAGCAGTGCTGAGATTTCTATGCAGCTTTCCCACTGTTACCCCCATCCTCGAGAGGAGAGCAGAAAACAATGCCTGCCTCTACTGCCTTTTGCACTTTTTCCAGCTTGCCTATAGGATCAGTCTAAACAGTCAGTATGTTTCTGCCTTGTGAAAAGAAGAGACTGGAAAGGCTGAAAAATTTGCATTGAGAAAAAGTTGGGAGGGAAAAACCACTGCAACATGGCCCAGCAAACAACAGGCTGCTGTGACTAACTTACTCCTGAAGGCAGACTTAAAAATACATATATTTATTAAATTAACTTTCTCTCATCACACATCCAAAAAGTTCCTTCATTACTCATGAGTCCTTAAAATAGGACTGATGTGAAGTTGGCTACTGTGTGAGCTTTGCTTGCCCTCCTTTCCTTGCTACTCCTTCCTCTGCCATGCCACTGTCCAGGACCATCCATACACCCATAGACAGATGTTTTTCTACCCAACTCTCTATGACCTGTTGTTGCCAAGAATTGCCCAATTACAAGGGAATCTTCTTTCCCTCATTTTCACATCAACTGTTTTTGGTTTGGGGTTGTTTTTCATTTGTTTGGGTTTTTTAATTGCTCTGCAAACAAACAGGAAAATAAAAACCAACTGCAGGGCAAACCTAGGGCTAATTAACCCAATGGGATGAATATATGAGTGTTTCCTGATGATGATTTATGTGACCTAACTTGAAGTTTGACTGCTTGTCTCCCAGAAGTGCCCGTTTCTCCATGGATTAGATGCAGCTTAGGGTAACTAGGTTCAATTTAGCTGCCCAACTTCATGAGGAACGGAAGAGTAAGTGATCCTCTATCCTGCTGTCTCTGAACAGGTTAGGAATTTCATTCTTGCTGCTCTTACTTCTAGACTTCAAGAATAATAGAAAAACATATGAAAAGTAAGCTTATTCTAGCTGACTTCTTTAAACCTACTTCTTAGGGACTTTTTAACTGCCCAAATGTCTTCCTCCTTGCCAGAAAATTCTGTGAAAGAAGTCTGGCTTTGCAAGTTAGTTCAAATGCAGAAGACACCCTCTAATTACTCTCCTCAGCAGCACTAAACATGATCAACTCTGCAGCACTAAACATGATCAACTCCCAAGCCAGGCTTGCCACAGTCCTGACCTAAAAGCCTCCTTTTAAATAGGGTAGACATTCATGTAGACATTGCCAGTTTTTCCAGGGCATTTAAACACCAAACTTGACCTATTTTCATCAGACACGTTGTCATCCATCACAAGCCTGAATATTTGACGGAGTGTAATTTGTCACAGGACAGCAGCAAATGTCAGAGCTTTTTCTCAGCCTGTGATCTTGCCTTCACCAGGAAAAATGACCTGCAATCATAAAAACCCCATGAAAACATTCACTTCATGTCTCCTGACTGATGCTGAAAAACCATAAACAGAAAAACAAAAAAAGAGCATATTAGCCTTGTCTTCTGGGAGCAAGCTGAAGGTCACTGCCAGAGGTATTGAAGCTGATGCAGTCAGTACTACATGGGCACTTTTTTAAGATCAGACCGTGTTACACAGCAATATACAGACAGGCAATGAAAGAAGAGATGTTGCTCAGGAGAGTGACAGTCTGTACAACAGAAATGATAGAATTTGGTTATGCAGCTTTATGGTTTCAGGGAGATTCCAGGCATTCAGCAACGTGTGCAGCACACAGCACCAAACACTCCCTGTGCTGTGAACGCTCACAGGGCCGTGGACAGGGACAGTGGAATGTCTGGAGATTTTCTAGGATGCATGTAAAGGAAGGCTTTTCCTGCAGCTGTCATTTGGCAAAAGAGCAGTATGCCTTGCACATGACCTGCTTCAGTCTCAGGGCAACCAAAATACCTCCTCACACACATTCAACATTCAAATTCTTTGTCAGAGACAAGCTAAGCCCTTGTGTTCACATCTCTAAAGGAGTCTGAGCAAAGCCAGCACGTATGCTCACATGTGTGTAAGAGCCAGGTGAAGCTCGGATTTTGCATTCCTTGCAGTATTCCCTGCCTGCCTTCAGGTCCCTGGTGCTGCAAAGCTTCAGCCTCTCAGCACAACAACCTGCCCTGCTTGTCTGTGCACAGTTAGACGAAGGACAGGAGTGAAAATCATCTCCCTCTTGCTCCATCTGTGACCGAGTCCCATGGAAGAGCTGATGTTCCCAGTGACATGGTGCTGTCCCCACAGGCAGCACCACTCTGGGTCTCCTCACAGAAGCAGGGGCTGTCTGCTTGCCCAGAGCACTGCATTCTGCAAAGATAAAGCTACAATGCCATGTCCTAAATGGGCACGTTTTTGTTTCTCTAAGATGGAACCTTCACTCAAAGATTGTATAGTACTGGTTCACAGTCTCCTGTGTTAGTACAGACTTCGGCCCTGCTTCACTTCACTGCTACACCCAGAAGAACCGAGTTCCTTTGAAATACAGGAAGGATTTACTGGCCTCATTTATTAAAAAGCAAATACAAGTGGCTCTGAAGCAAATGTCCTTAGGTGCTGAGTTTCATGAATCACAGCTAGTGATCCAACAGGAAGGAAACAGCACTGAAAATGGAAATACTTGAAAACAATAAAGGATCTTTTCTACATACAGTAAATTGTTACTGTAAGGATTAGAGCAGTTTTCTTTCTAATTGGGGTTATTTATTAATGCAATATTATGGTCCCGCAACATTGATTCAAAATGCAAATGGACCAGAATGACCTCTGGGTTTGTAATGCCATAGAGCAAGCTTCCTGAAACTCTTGTGTTTAGGAATAAGTCTGACTTATAAAACAATGGAAACTTGCTACATAATAATGACCAGTGCCCCTCCTCTGCCCCTCAGAGGAAGTTGTTGACCCCAGTGAGTCTCCCCTCAGCCTCCTCCAGTGGAACAGACCGAGGCTTCCCTTCCAGGCCCTTCACCATCCTCGTGGTCTCCTTATCTCTAATGGATCCTTTGTGCACCTCCTCAGAAGATATTCAGTGGTTTTTCCTTCAGAAAAACATTAGATCACTTGTTTAGCTTAGCACTGACTCAAGGGAGAAAAACCCCTACCCCTGGCTCTGGAATGAATCATCAGTTTCATTTTCCATGGAAACGTTATTTTGAGGAGAGGGGGGATATGTTCAACCAAGTACCAACCCAGTGTAACACTATCTGGTTTGTGAGAACTCTGCAATCACATCTTGACATGCTGTGGTTGCAGGCAAATAAAATTTTTTTAAAAAGCGAAAAATTCAGCATGTGCTTGTATTTCATAGATACCATGATTTTCTAGCAGCTTCAAACCCCTGTGCTTAAGAAGAATCACTTTTATACAAAGAGAAAATGCAAGTATGACTACAATAAGAAAAAAAAAATGTGGTAATCATGTTGACTCCTGAGAGCTGAAAAAGTTAATATTAAAAACGGAAAAAGTACAGTCTGCTGAGGGCCAAGCAGTGTTTTCCTAAGGCTGTATTGGTTCCACGATCCAGCTAGAATATTTCTAAGTATTAAATTAGTTTAAAATAATCAGCACACCTCATGACTAACTTTGTGAAATGAAGGAGTAACTTAAACTTGTTCACACAGCTATTTAAATAGAAGTTTGCCCCTGTATAATTTTTTCTGCCTTGATTATTACTACTCATTCCAGTCATTTGGTTTTACAATACTATTTCTCACAACTGGGTTGTGGAATATTTTTTGTGGTTAACACACTGTTTACTCTAGCTTTTTAAAAAACATGCAAGCAAAAACTTATCACCAATAGTATCAATATTTGGAGTACATTGAATACTCCAAATTCAGTTTGATATGAGTAATAAGAACATACAATTTCAGACTATAAGCAGCAAAATAATTTCAAGTTCTTCCACGCTGGATACTTGCAGTATGATGCCAAGAAACTGCCTAGTTTCAAATTACTTTTATGTTCCAAATTACTTCTGAATTAATATACAGACTTCAACACATTTTTAAGAATAACATGTGTAAAGCTGTTTATTTCTACTATCCACTGCTTATTCACCTTTTTCATAGCTCTTCTTTAACTCCTTCATCTAGCACATACTGTTATCTTGGAAACACTAAACTAGATTTTACAACATGGTGGATGGAGTGTTTCAATACAGACCACAAACAAGGAAAGCAACTAGATGGATCAAAAAATAGTTACATTCGGTATTTGTATGAACAGATCCTTCGAAGAAGAGACAAGATACTTCTGCCAGGTGTAATTACACACATTAGTCAGTGATGTGTGCCACGCCAATCCAATCCCAGAAACAAGGAATTTCTTGTTTCTAAAGCCTGATAGCTGCTAAAATACGTATGCAAATGAATGTTGGAATAGAAATAAACCTCATCAAACCACTGTGTGACCACTTCTTCAGAACTACCTAGAGCTTAACTGATCTTTTTTTAATCTGTTTGCTTTGAAGGTAACTACTACACCTGCATTTCATGTCAGCTCTTCTGTATGAGAAGGCAGTGGTCTGTAGTGAAGATGTCTGTCTCAACAGAGTCTGTTTTGAGGAGAGGACAGATGCTGGGATGGGTAGGAAGGAAACCAGGGTGGCCCATGTTCTGATACCTGTGAGCACTCCTCAAAGCAGACACACTTTTGACTCCAATATGGAAGATTCAGGCACCTGCAGATGGTCTCTCCAGGTTTACGTGGCTGCTGAGCTGGGGTGTTCTTTTGTTTCTGTGAATTGTGAGCACTGACAGATTTTTAAGATATCTTCTATTCAGAGATGGGTTTGTGAAATATCTGTCCCCATCGGTTCTACCTTGCATATACATTGTGTGTGTGTGAGAAAATTAGAAAAGTGTTTATGAAGTTCACTGAAGTGCCACTGTATACATTTAAAACAATGGAACAGCATGTGTCAGTGCTTATTCTTTATATGGCACTCACTGAGAACTTGAGTTTTGATGGGAAAGATGTAAGTGAGGGTTGCTTGCAACTGAAGATGAAGTAAAACAGGAAAGTTGCAGAAAAAATCTTGGAGGAGACCACATTGGGAAAAAGACCCCATCAAGAGTACTCGTGATGCAATCAGAAAGCTGCATCAAGAAAATGAGAGAGCTGCTGAGAAGTCAAAGGTTTAGAGGAAACCACTCCAGATCATCAGTTTGACCTGCATATCCCAGCCTTGATTCACTTTAGGCAGGACTTCCAGGATTTATTGAAACCAGGTTTTTATTTTTCTTGGTTTGATATTCATGACTCCAAGGGTTTGGCAGGGAGGGAGGGATGGAGGAAGGACAGATGTGCTACACCATCAGCGCAGTCTGTCTGAAACCAGAACGTTTTACCAGTGACATAGAAGAGGTTTTAGTACAGTTTCTGTGTGCCAGAGACTTAGGCTGGAGTAAGAGCTGCCTTTAGAGTTTAGTCCTTTCCAAAACAAGATAAAAGATACTCTTTTACATGTCTGTTTTTAACAGATAAGTGGCATGCTCTGCAAATATCCTTTATATTTAAAAAGCATGTGGGATGAATACTTCCCAGTGAGGATGTCTGGTATGTTTTGACATGAGAGAAGGAAAAAGCTCGGTATTCTTGCTTTTCTTTGATTACTGCATGGAAATTAACCATAAAGGCGCAACCACTTCAGCAATTCCTCTTAGTTTTGTAATTGCTTATTCTGCGTGGGTATCTGTCCCGAGCCAGCCGGGCGGGCAAAGCCCCGCAGGTGCAGCAAGCTGCTGGCGGGTCCCGGGGGAGGAGGGCCCTGGAGACAGATGTAGGAGCCGGGAGCTGCCTGGATGCTCTGCCCGGCCTGCCCGGGCACACGGACCCGCAGCGGCTTCGCCGCCGGAACGGCGCGGAATACAGGTAGAAAGCCAGCAAAAAACCCCGAGCAGTACCGACCACCACCGCGCCTAACAGAGCCCCCGGCCCCGGGATTGCCAAAGCGCCGAGAAGGCAGCGGGGCCCGGACCCCACACGGCTCTAACCTGCTCCTCGGCCGCGGACTCCGTGCCCTCCGCCGTCCCGTTGAGCTCGTGGGTCTCGCTGCCGGAGTCCATGGCAGCCGCCCGGGCCGCTGCTGTCCCGGGCGGGGCAGGAGGGAAAGGTTCCCCTCGGGGCAGCGGTCCCCGGATCTGGCCCGGCCTCCCCGCACGGCGCCCTGGGCCCGCCTCCGCCGCCGGGGCTGCCTTCCTCGGCTCTTCCCCCGCTTTTCCCCGCCTCCTCTCCCCGCCCGCCCGCCGGCGGTGGTTTCCGCGCAGGGCCGAGCCCAGCGGAGCGCGGCAGCGCTGGTGGAGTCTGCCCCCGGCCTCGGGCCTCCGGGCCAGGCGCGGGCAGCCTGGGTTGAGCCCCAGTTCCCAGTGTTGGTCAGGAATCACACTGCGTGTGATTCTGTATGTAGGGAAATGGTAGTGGATGCAAAAAAAAATTTCAGAAATCTGTCTTGAGAAAGGGGAAGGATAGAATTTGATTTTTAATAGCTCTCTGATCAGTGTTTTTAGGGCTTCGGTATCATTATCTTTTTTTTTTTCACCTCATTGTCCTATATATTTTTGTCTCCCTATGTTTATTTTCCCACCTGTGCTGTGACAAGGAGGATGTACAAAACCAAACAACATGTAGGTTAGTTGGTGATGGGACGTCAGAGGAACACTCAGATGCATAGAAACAACTGCCAGCAAGAGCAGAAATGTGAAAAATAAATGTAAGTAATTGGGTTTTATATGACCACATGTAATCTCTTCTAAAGCCTGAACTGCTCATCTGCACTGAAAATGTTTCTGAATATTTGTTAGTGCAGTGGGCTAGGAAACGCTAGTTTGGAGAGAACAATAAAGTTTGTTGTTATAGTCCATAGAAAATGGAAGAAATAGTGTATTAAGACAGCAAAGGTGCATGTGTATAAACTACACAGTTCTTAACAAGTACAAGGATTAAAAAGGCACATTGCTTTCCTTACCTTTGGGATTTGTGATAGCTAAACTTGAGTAATACACTCAGCTAGGCCAGCCTTTATCAGATATATTACCTGTTCGTTTAATAGTCATTAAATATGCATGAACCATAATTGTTAATTTTGATCCCAGGACAACCTGGTCAGAACCCTCTCTGGTTGCAAGTATCCAGTGTTCAGAGATACTGCTATACTTTTAATGACCACTTTTTCATCTTCTGTACCTCCTTGCAACTGCATTTAAGAACCTTGTTGGGCAGTTGTAAAGGTTTGATGTGCTCTGGTGAAATTATTCTGCCCTTATTCCTAGAAATGAGAGGTATGCTCTTCGGACGTGATGGTGACAGTGCTGAGCGATACTCCCTGTGTGCTGCATAATCATGTGCTAAGGACACCAGAGAGTAGCACCTGTTCTTAATCCTGTAGGAAATAGGTATAATTTCAGTCGAACTGGGAAACAGCTGAATTTGTGTTTGAGAGACATACGGTCTGAAACAGTAGTTCTTTGTTGAAACTTCACATTTGTCAGTCCAGTATAATTTTTTTAACAATAAAATTTCCTGTTATCCAGGCTTTGAATTAGTTATGTGGGTTGAACCTGAAAAAAATCTTTTGCTGCTTATGGAAAAGACCCTATGCTCCCTATGTGGAAATAGCCTCAGACTCAAATCGTGGTCAGAGAGAGGCAGACTGGTGGTGTGATCAGTCTGCAGCCATGGAACAACGAGACAACACTCTGTGGTAGGTAGATCTTGTTTGCGTGTTAATTACAAGACAAGAGCCTACAAGTGTTATCCCAGGAGTCTGAGTCAGGGGTTCTGGTGAGTGTTTTGCAGACCTGTTACTGGAAGGTGCACAGACAGTCCTTGGGACAACTGTCAGAATAGCCATTGAAATCTAGATGACAATATTGAAAACGACAAAACCCCCACTGCTCTGCATCTTTGCATCTTAGCTGTGAAAGGAATTTCCAGTCTATTGGATTCTCAAGCTGTTAGTAATTACTAACCATTTTGTGGGGTTTTTTTTCCTCAAAATAACTCTGGTGAGTATGTGACAGGCCCAGAATGATCCTAAATGTGGAAACAATTGGAAAGTACAGCACTATGAAATGCTCCAGAATAATTTGAACTGTAGGGCTGCCTGGTCTAAAAGTTCTGCTGGGTTTGAGCATTGTCTTTTATAAAACGGTGATGTATGTTAATGATTTCTCTTAGCTGGTAAAGTGTCTTGCTCAGAAAATCACATTTGTGTGTGCCTGAAGCTGCATAACTTAGCTGTTCGTTACAAAATACACAAATAACACGTTGTTTAGGAGGTGATGGTGCATTTTTAAAGGATGTAGTGGTAGTTCACTTCAGAGGTACTTGTGTTGGTTTGAAAGTAAAACCAGTGTGAGACTCCAAGTCAGTAATACAATTTAATAGGAGAAAAGAGAAAAAATAAAATACATGCAATAATATAAAAAAACCAACCACCGACACAGTCAGAAATACAGCCTGACACCCTGTCAGTCAGGGTGTTGGTAGCAGTCCGTATAAATGGTGGCTGCAGTCCTCCTGGATGACAGATGTGGTTCCGTTGAAGCAGTGCTCCTGTAGAAGGTGCAGTTTTCCTCCGAAGATCCAGCGATGATGTGGAAATGGTCCGACTTTCCTCTGGGATCCAGTAGAAAGGTCTGTCTTCGCGTCCCAAACCCCAGTTTTTTATCTAGGTAGGAAAGGCTTGGCTCCTGCCCCTGGCTGGGGGCATCTCCCAGTGGGATGATGTAATCTTATCAGTCACACAATAGGACTTAATGGCCTATTAACAGACTATAACTTCTAGAGGAAGGATGGGTTGTGAAAAGATAACGATGATCATCCCCCGATCTTATCAGATGGCACATCAGCAGAGGATATCTCCCACAGAGATAAGGATTACCACCCCTCCTACATTTTAACAGATGGTGATAGAATACACATTTTTGCATTGTACCCCAGGATAGTACTGAATCTTCATCTAGGTAATGAATGAGATTAAGAATCAGTTGCATTTATATTCCCAAACTGTATTGTCATTGTTTCATTCTAGCCAACATAATTTTCTTGCTATCATTAAATCCTTTTTATAGATTTTATTATATCAAATAGATGGAGAATGATTTAAATACGTCTGTGTCTAAGATCTGGTATTTAATGTTTACTTTTGCAAGGTGAATTTAAACTTTTTTCATCAAATGTACAGGCAGTGATAGGTCAGAGATGACCCATTTGCAGTACTATACCACAAAACAAGGAATTCAAAGAAAAATCAAGCCTAATGTACTTTTCAGGATTGTGCAGAGGTGCAGCAGTAGTCTAGAAGAGGGAGTGGAAGGAGGTTATCTGTAAACCAGAGTAAAGAATGCACCTGTTTAAAATGCCAGGTCTCATTACAGGTGTGAATCTGAATTTTATGTCCTCGCATAGCTTGTCAGCAATCAGGTAAATAAGAAGAATCAGGCCCTAGAGCTACTGTTGGTGATTCAATGAAAAGACTAATCTAGTTAAATGAAAAGGTCTTTGTGTATGGAATTAGTCCCAAATGTAGTTCATAGAATGTGTGCTATTGAAATGCGTCCAACAAAAGAAAAAAAAAAAAAAGAGGAAAGGAGAAGGGAAATAAATGAGTTCAAAGGGTTCTTTTGTATCAGGACTTATGCTCTCAGGGGTAGTTCCCAGCTTCCAAGATATACAGAGAGAGAGGAAGAAAGAAAAAGAAACAATTTCCCCAGAAGGTAGAGCACCAGCTCCACAGGTGACAGCAGTACTGAGGCTCCTGAGAGCCCAAGTACCTGCCCTGCAATGGTCTGAAAGGCATTAAGGAAGCAGCCCTCATTCCCAAGGTGCAGCCCCTCCCCATTTGTTGTGTCTTTTGTTAGAATTACTATTAAAAAAAACCAAAACAAAACAACAACACCCCCCCCTAAAAAACAACCCCAAAAACAACAAAAAACCCAAACAACAAACAAACAAGCAAAACAACAACCAAAAAATACAGGTGATGTTTGCCAGCTATCTCAGTTTTACAGCATCAGCCAAGGTTTTAGAGCTGCTGTGCAGCAGAAGGATTGTGTCTGTGTGCAGGGCTGTAGGGCCTGATCCCTTTTGGGGGTTTTGTGCTCTCTCAAGACTGAGTTCAGGTTCCACAGTGTGCAATGGGATAGGTTTATGTGCATTGCATGTGCACGTAAATACTGCAAAATAGGCTTATGTGTGTGACTGATGTGTGCAACATGTGAGCCCACATGTCTGGAGTGTGCAAGCAATGGGGCGGGTTTTGTTTTCTAGAAAGAGTTCCTAGTTAAGGTTGTTTTTTCCAGAATTTCTGGAAGTTTTTGCTAGATTCTCTGGAGGTATTAGGTTGAAAGAAACATCAGGAGGTCAGCTAGCCTAACATTTTGCTCAAGCAGAGTAAGCTGTGAGGTCAGACGCGGTGACTTAGGGCTGGTTCCTGCTCATTGGCCTTTAAGCATTTTTTGGTAGTTTCTTTGCATGACAGCATTCCAATATATTAATTTACAAATAGAAATTTACATCCCTTTCATGCTTTCTTTTGTCGGGTTCATAGACAGAAGCTTTTTGGAAAGCTAGAAATTTGGCAGTATAACTTTTCATTTGTTCATTTGTGATAGACCAACCAAGTACCAAACACAGATTACTGTTTATTACTGGCACACAGTTTAAAATAGTAAGAGGAAATTCAAGCCCAGATGGAATTTCAAGGCCAGAAATCACTATTGTGATAATTTCGCTTGAATTTCACGCAGCACCACTCACAGTTTGCCCTGCAGCTTGTCGTCGAACCAGAGGACAGTTGGCTTGGATGAAGTCCTTGGTATTGCTTTTAAAGCTGACATTAAAAGAACTTGACAGCTTTGGGATGTGGTGAACACTCAGCCTATAGAAAAGACTGGACTGACACCGTTAAATATGATGCATTAGGAAATTTTAAAATCTGTTTTTACCTGGAAGTACCGAGTGGCCTCAGCAGAACCTGTAAACATTAATTCTGCCTGTGGTCTGCATTCCCCTCTGCAGTTATGCTGAGGGCTGTCTGTAAAAATACAAATCTTCTGGTGTTTTACTGGCAGACTATCAGAAAGATATTACAAATGTTTCTCTCTTCTGCTTCCTATCTCCAAAAACGCCTATATACATAAGGGCTTTTTCTTGCAAGACCTGTTGCCTGAT